ATCCATGGGCTCGCCTCACCTGGTAGTTATGATTTCAAAATACCAGGCTACGTTCAACTCAATTTCGGGTTGGATTTGTGAATGTACTATTACTGGTTCCCCGAGGCAGTTACAGGACTTTTCTTTGCCACATAGTATATTTCTTCTAATAGTCGACACTCGCGTTTTCATTCTTCTCTTTCCCCTTGCTTCAGTAATAGGGTGGAAATGCTGGAGTTACTAAAACAATTTATGACTTTTGCGCATAGGCCTCTTGGAGTGAGACGACGTATCTTGTGGATATATATGTCTTCGTATTTGTTTTCCGCATGAGCATGTATACGTGGAACTATAAATATATATTGATAACCCACACGCTTTGTACGCCATGGATGCCTACTGTCAGTTTGACTCAATTTGTGATATATAACGCGTCAAACTGCTCACCTAGGCAGGAATCGGAGTCCTTTTAGGGCAAATTTGAGGTCCCAATCGGGCGGAGATAGTCTTATCTTATCAGTGCCAAGCCGGATCTTCACCTCTTGATATGAGCCTTTCTTAACTTCAATTCCAAGCAACTTGAACTCGCGAATCATGAATAACGAGCAGTTTCGCCGGCTAATAGCCAACCAGTCGTCGTCAAAACCTACGAGCGAGAGCCAGGTGCCTGGTCGCGATGCATCGCGTGGCGGCGCAACCCCGGGCGGGTCCCTGGGATCGCGAATGAGGTCCAGTATTCCCATGACCCCGTACGTCGCTTGATTTCCAGATTACTATGATTCCAGAGGAAGCTAACAGCTGTGGCATTATTATAGGCGTTCAGTCACTGGTGTTGACTTCGCCCGCCAGCTCTTCGAGCAACGCCACGAGGGCAATCGACCTTCCAAGCGATTCAAGTCCTCCGCCGCGCCGAAGGGTACCTCGCTACCGACCGGCTATCAGGATCGTGCACAATTGCGCAATGCAGAGGACGAGAGCAGCACAGGCCTGGAGGCACGCATCAAGGCACTAGAAGATATGGTCAAGTTGGGACAAATCGACCAGGCTACCTTTGACAAACTCCGCCGAGACCTTGGAGTCGGAGGTGACATTGAAAGCACACACATGGTCAAAGGACTGGATATGGATTTGTTAAGACGGATTAGAGCTGGCGAGGACGTGTCGCAAGCAGCCGAAAAACTTGCGCCGCCCCCCGAAAAAGAAGACGTAGATGAGGAATTTGATCGTCTGATGGAAGAGAAGGGACTTGAGGAGCTTGCTGCTGCACCCAAGGAACAGAAGGAAAAGAAGAAGGGAACCATGGCACCGCCGCCTGCTAGGCCCAAGACCCGCGATGAAATCCTGCGGGAATTGAGGGCAAGCCGGGCTGCTGCTGCCGCGCCTCCTCCGCCCCCAGAGTCCATACTTGGCTCAAAATTTAAGAAGCTGAGCGATGGAAAGCCCGAGAAGAAGCGGTTTGTGGAGCGTGATGAGACTGGCCGCCGACGCGAAGTGCTCCTTATCACCGATGCGCAAGGGAATACGAAGAGGAAGACTAGGTGGCTCGATAAGCCGGTTGAAGCGCCTATGCCTGCCGTAGGAGACCTTATGATGCCCGATAAAGGTCTCACACCCCTCGGTATGGAAGTTCCAGCTGAAATTGCTGCCCGTGCTGCTGCACAAGTGGTACCCGAGGATGACGACGAAGATATCTTTGCCGGTGTCGGTGATGATTACAATCCTCTGGCTGGACTCGAAGACGAGTCATCGTCTGATGAAGATGGCGAAGTTGCGGATTCGGCCACTCGCAAACCTGAAAAGGCTCCCATCAGCGAAGAGGAGAAGGAACCTGCCATATCTGAAACAGCACCCGTGAAACCTAAGAACTACTTTGCGACTGGGACCTCGACTACAGCAGCAGAGGAGCCTGTCGACCGATCCAACCCCCTCACCAAAGATCCAACCATTCTTGCTGCCCTCAAACGAGCTGCAGCCCTCCGACAGAGCTCTCCCTCGGCGGAAGGTGAAGCAGACCAGTCTTCTGAGACTGCCCTTCGTCACAAGCGCTTCATTGAAGAGGCACGACGCCAAGAGGCCATGGATGCCGCGGACATGGATATGGGATTCGGAGGAAGTCGCAACGAAGACGGAGAGGAGGAGGACGATGGTCCCCTGCTCGACTTTGACGACGACGAACGGGGCGGGAAAAAGAGAAAGCGTGGCCCCAAGAAAAGGAAGGGCGACAAAGATAGCGTCTCGGACATTTTGCGTGTTGTCGAGGGTCGCAAGAAGGAGGCTTCATGAGTGTCATTACCACACACAAATGCCGGATCTTGGGTCCCGTGCCCCCAATGTACTTCTGATATGAAATCGGCATTTGGAGCTATTTGATACCCTGCTATGCTATGCGTTCTCTACTTGTCTACCAAAGCTCATCGTGCCGCGGAGGCCATTCAGTCACCTCAAGCGCTTACAAACTGTTGCATTGACCTGGATATCATTCTCACTATGTAATGAAGACTACGTGGCACATCATACCCATATATTCTACATATTTATCTGCTAGTAGTCAGCCGCTTATCTGTCGTTTGCCTTTGACGACGTATGGTTTTGATAATTTGAATACCCAGTTCCCTCGATAGAGATGACGTTGGGTAGAGAGGGTATGTATGTATATGGGAATACCCCGATGTCTTTTTTAGTATCGACATTCTCCGTCAAATAATCCTGTGGACACCTGCGTCACCATTCACTCAGTACTATTTGTATGGCTCAATGTATTCCGTCGATTTCTTCGTCGTCGGACGTGTGTGAGACGGGTCCCGGACTGAAGTCTCTCTAGTAAACATGTCCATGGGGCCTGGTTTAGACTTTGTCTCTCTACAGAAGATGCTGTGTCTCACCTCCGTAGATAGCTACAGATGGCTGCATATCGCTATAATACTCTACAGGATATCAACACGCCTAGGTAGATATCGATATCTCACCATGCGAGATACTGGGGACTTTAGACTGACTCCTGGACTTCGTTGTCGCATCTCCTCAAAGTAGCCGTCTCTAAAACCGAGAGATAGTTCATGTTAACTTTGGGAAGGTGCTACTTTCCCTATTTGAGGCAGCCCTACTTTCCCCAATACGGAAGGAACCCCCCAGCTTCAGTCTCAACATATAAATACCCTCCCTCCCTCTCTTCTCTTCTCTTTTTTTTCCCTTTCCTCCTTCATCTATCTTCCTTCCTTCCTTCCATCCCCCCTAGGGGGCTTGGACTTTTGTTCATCATTCTTGGCTTCATGGCCATCCTCTCTCCACTACTCTTTCTTTTTCTGTGTCTCTACGACGCATCTGCATCATGATCCTCTTGGTGACCCCTAGCTGGTCACGTCAACTAGATCATGTTGACTGGTTAGTACCTTCCACTATTGTTCCTTCTGTTGTTCCTTCTATTGTCCCTTCCACTATTGTCCCTTCTACCACTTATCCCTTCTACCACTTGTCCCTTCTACCACTTGTCCCTTCTACCACTTGTCCCTTCTACCACTTGTCCCTTCTACCACTTGTCCCTTCCACCGCTTGTTCCTTCCACCTCTATGTCTTATCACGTATGGGCTATTTCGCGTCTTACCTTGTTGTCTCTCTATCCCTCGCCCTTATTGCTTCCTCCCACCACTCCATGGTTTCATCTCATCATGTCTTGGTATCATCATAGTGCCGTGACGCCATGGCACTATAGTATCAGGTCTACCCCCTGATCCCCCCATGTGTCTATCCTTGTCATAACCTCATGGCCCACAGCAATGAGCCTGCTTTCCTGTTACTCAGCTAATGGATTATAGATACCCAAACCCCAGTACATGCTTGTGATGCATGTTGACTCTGCTTGATATGCCATTGCTAGTGGGTATATCACGACGAAAGGCCCCATGGTGATCCAGGTGAGAACTCCAGCGATATCCCAACCCCAATGTTCTTTTGGCTCGCGACAACGAGTGGAAGACCTCACCAGTCCAGTGAATTACGCAGGGAAACCTTTTCTTCCTCTGCCTTTAGGGATCTTTGCATCTTTCGCCCCTTTTGTGGCGTCGAACGATGAGATATGGCCGCATCCCGGGAACAGATTACACATGCCAATGGTACCACCACCCCCGTCGTCATCAATATAACCATCAACATCGAAAGGAACGGTCAATTCTTACATCCGCACGCTGCAAATTCAGGTGAGGTCTCTCAGCGGACACAAATGAAAAGGAGGCTGGCTGCACCGGCGCTAGCCTCCATAGATAGTTAGATAGCGTTCTGCGACGGGATCTCACCAGCTTTGCTGACGCTTGTTGGTTTTTACCAGGCACATCCACTTCACCAGTCAAATTTGCAAGACCTGCCATACCACCCCATCTTGCGCGTTCGCGCTACATGGGATATTCGCAACAATCATGATTCATGCATATTCAGGTGAGATCTCCCAGCAGATACAAATGAAAAGGAGGCTGGCTGCACCGGCGCTAGCCTCCATAGATAGTTAGATAGCGTTCTGCGACGGGATCTCACCAGCTTTGCTGACGCTTGTTGGCTTTTATCAGGCACATCCACTTCACTAGTCAAATCCGAAAGACCTGCCGACTTACATCAAGTTGCTATCACGCGCTGCATACCTCGTCATTGAGCAAAGACGCACGAGGTATTCGCATCAATCTACATTTTCAGGTGAGATCTCCTAGCGGACAAAAATGAAAAGGAGGCTGGCTGCACCGGTGCTAGCCTCCATAGATAGTTAGATAGCGTTCTGCGACGGGATCTCACCAGCTTTGCTGACGCTTGTTGGTTTCCACCAGGCATTCCTATATTCATGGCGCCCACTCCAGCTTGCTTGAGATTCAGTGATGTCCTCCAATATTCTGAACACAGAACAATCGCAAACCCCTACACCTTCAGGTAAGGTCCTTGAGCGGACAACACATGGAAAGGAGGTTGAATACAGCTCAAGCGGACAAGCTCCCCAATCTAACCTCCTTAGATAGTTAGATAGAGTTCTGCGATGATGGGCCTTACCAGCTTTTGCTGACGCTTGTTGGGTTTCCAGGTTCATGCCAACCGCCAATCCGCGGAAATCTGCCGATCAGCTCAAATTTGCTTGCCACTCGGCCCTGCTTTCTGCTCAACTCGGCAGCTGATTGATTTTGATCATGTGAGGTTCCACCCTCACCCTCTGCACCATCAACATTGTACAATGGGCTAACCATGGCCAGGTCCGTTTTCTCCGAGCATGTTTGGTTCTCTTCCCACAACACTTGAGACTCCCTCGGTGCTCTGGCTGCGACCATCAAATGACGTTGAGGTTTTCCCGCTTCTTCCATGTCGGTTCGCTGCTGGGTTACAGTAGTCTGGTGGTAAATATTCCATCTTGTCCCTACTTGATCCACAGGGCGGGTACCCCGGGCAAGTTCCGGAGACCGGCCCCATTTCGCTGGGCCCACTCATCACAAGGATCATCTACAAGTGCAATGAAGTGAGCTCCCGAGGTTGGCTGGAGGGTGGAGCTTATCTCGGTCGCTTGCAAGATTTTCCTTGGGATGGGCTGGGTGGTCATTAGGGGGACTGCGCAGATCCTTTCTCTGACAATATGTTCTCGGCTCCAGTAAAGATTGCAATGAATGACTTGGACAACAGGCTTGAGGACACAGAAAGTCAGCGTTATGATCAGCTGGGTGCAGCTGAGGACAGACCTTCAGAGATGGTAGGGATTCATAAAACTTCTCTGAAATTTGGGAATGTCTTTGGGGACGTAACTGTGGTCGCCGTTCAAGGGTTTTATGGAGGCAACATGTGGACTTTGTCATCAGATCGTTGGAACTTGGACATCTGGCAACTCTGTCCGTTATGGGACCAACCATCTATCTGCCTTCAAATTCAAAACTGCATTGCGAAACCAGCACTGCATTAACATGGCGACCAATTGTATCAAAACAAATAATGCCCCAAGAGGAGGCGGAAAAAACGGGAAGAAATCCCAAAGCAACAATCTCATCACCACCACCAGCGGGGGAAGCGACATCACCGTCTCCAAGACAGCACTTTTCGAACATTCTCATGGCTTGCCCATGTCACACTGAAAACCCAGTGGGCTATTCATTCGAGTAGTTTCAATACTCTACAGGGTGACATGGAAATGAGCAAGCTCATCTCGCTCACCGAGCAAATCATGGAATATGACGGATGGATCTGGTGGCGACAGCCAAAGTACGGAATCGGAATTGGGACACTCAGTCAATGTGCAGATATTGAAATTGAAGACCATACAAATTGACTTTCAGAGAACTGAGCACGTAGAGCTGCTACTGATGACTGCCCTTCGAGATGAAGAGCAAAGTAATGAGGCTTATCATTATCCATTCTGCATTTCTCACTCGCAAATTAGATAGCATCCATTAGGGCATATCGCACATGCTCTCAACCGTAGGCATGCTTTCGCTTGCGGAAGATGCTGACCTTCATCCCGTTTCAGTCAACCACCATTTCTACCTACCTATCTAGGTAGTCGATTCACTGTTCTCATCCCCGATGTCCATTTGTCTCCCCTGCTCTAGCATATTAGACCAACATCACTCATTATCCCTAGCCAACTGAATGAGATACTTACGCCAATTGCCATCTGTAGATTGCAGCGAACACATGGCGTCACGGAGGCCAAGGCAAGAAGCATACCAGCGTGGTAATTAGACCAATGGAATGCAGGTGTTCATTCCATCAAATATCCGATATCGGAAGACCAACTATATCACGAACAGGGCGGCACCTTACTCTGTATCCCCACATATATAAAAAGGCGCGCTTTTTAGAGTATGGGTGGAGTCTGTGACACCACCAGCAGTATTGCCAACGGTCGTTCTGAAGTTGACGAACTAATCGTAATTCCGAAACCGGTTCACGCCACATGAGCTCATAAACCCATGTTTTACGCACCCGAAGAAATGCCTGGTAGCAAGTGAGAATATATCTGCAAGTTAGCGCGAAGCAAACTTGATCGGAGACCCAGAGGCATGTGAAGATTATTTCGAGGATTTCTGGTGGAACTTTTTCAAAATGATCGATTGGCAGGGTCCTCTGCTTGGGATGCCGTTGAAATATGGATTTAATCTTTGGGGAGTAGAACTTCATAATTACCCATAGCGGGATATCCTAGATATAGTGAAATGGTAAGATGGGAATGTGATAATGTCGACATCTATTTACGTTAGTAGTCGTCATCAACTAATATGAAACCCATGGATTTATACTAAGTCTAGCCTTATCACCCGTGGACCGCTCTTTCTACTTTTATGTTCCTGAAATATTTACTACGCGATTTCTCTCTTCCCTTTCTCTTCCTCTTCCGATTCGTCTTCCTCTCTTTTATCTATCCAAGTGCGTTTCCTAATTCCTTTGTCTCATTCTGCTGAAACAATGGATGAAGTCACTTTTCATTATTATACTACGATTATCAGATCACGGCCATTCTCGCTAGAGAGCAGAACTTACGATGGCACGCCGTGAATAGCTAGATGCTGCTCTAACTCACACCATTTTCGTCCAATCACCTACTTCAGAACAGCCGCACTGAGCAAACCCCTACCACCATCAATAAGATCAGTCGCTAGATTGACATCAGAGACAACGTAAAGAAAATCACATCCACGAAAGACAAACGTCGAGGCTATAGCGGCAAAACTTAAACAGCAAAAGACCGAATACACAAATTTCAAGCATCCTTGTCTCAAACAAGACCTCATGAGTGCCCAAGGGCAATATGATATCCTCATCATTGACATAACCATCTAATTTCTCTGCTACTCTTTTGACACCACAGCAAATCTTTTTTTGATGAAGACGAGAACTGCCAAACATGGCCAAGCACTCAACATCCTTATTAATACAACAATGTGGCCGTTAAATCGCATGGAATTGGGCACAATGGAAACTCTGGGCGTGCCCCATGTGACAATAGCCTGCAAGTATTCATCTCAATCAGGATCTAACATTACACTACACAAGTCGCGTGTTCGTGGAGACGCAACTTTCTCGATCACTATTTAACGTCCTCCCTGACTTTCTTCCCTTGTTCATGGTTCAACATTCGCACTTCTCAACTCGATATTAGACCCCCCACAGGAGGTAAATTTCCCAAGCGCCATGTCCAATGTCTGCGACGAGATAAGGGTTAACTAGTACAGGTTGTTTTACAGGTTGAAGGGCTAAGAAATATCTTCGCAATTTTTAGCAACAAATCTCGGACTGATGGCAGACTGGGCAATTCTCAACAGAACTATTAGCCTGCAGTCTGTCACCTCAATGACCTGGTCCTTCAGCCTCCTTGTCCAAACTGCATGTTCTCAATCCGACTTGCAACAACTCAACCAAATCAGAGCTGGTATACATTGATGAAGATCGAATGGGAAATTGCGGTCCTCAACTTGACGCCAGGTAGTGGACATTTTCCGATCCTGAGTGAGTACTTTAAGGGGCAAGGGTATTCTGTTAACTCTTTAGATTAACATAGAGAGATAATATGGAGGGCAAAATACGTTTTAGGTAACATAAATACTATGAGCATCTCTTTATCATGGCCTGTAGCCCAGCAATGGCCAAGAGAGATATAAATTCCGATGTAGTTGATACAAGGTTGTGGATCCTGGTCCGTGCGTATTCGGCTTAGGTACTCCAGGGCTGCTGACTTCTGCCTTCTCCAGGGCCGACCTTTTCCTGGCAGCAACGTGCTAGAGAGAATTTCGGCAACTGGCTCGTGCGAAAAATTCATTTAATTTCATGCTGCTGTCACATTCGTGGAATTACAGGCCCATTATGACGGACACCGCAAGCTTATCAAGACATCAGCCCCGCAAACCACATCCACAAAAGCAGCAAAAGCGGCCGCAATTGACACATTTTCTTTGCCTTCCTCTTATAAACACCATATCCCTGCCACAGCTGGACTCATCACTCGCGGCCTTCAAAACAGCCCATCTCGCTGAATCTGGGCCAGGTTCCCAATCGTCCTCCAAGGGCCATGGGGACACCCCCGTCTGGGTCTTCCCAGCACAGCCTTTCGTCCACTGGGCACACTACACCTTACTCTTGGGGTGATGAGTCTCAACAATAAAGAGCGTCTCGATCAAGCTCTTGCTTTTTTCCAGTCCCTCGACCTGGCAGACATAATGAAAGAGGCGGAGCAAGTCACCGCTCACACACAACAGAAAGTCGCCCTTCGCCAATCATCGCCTTTGACTGTTTCTCTCGAGTCATTGCATGCTCTGCCACAAGGCAAGTCGGCTACCATCCTACATGCTTCCCCGGTCGATCCTACAGGCCGCTTGCTTCCATTTTGCATAAAACTACGCGACAAATTCATCGAGGCTGGCTTCATCCAAAGTGAGCCCGACAGAAGACCAGCAGGAAGACAAGACTCCTCCATTCGCTTTGTCCAAGACAGTCATCAGGCCGCTGGATCCGCTACCATTTCTAGTGATGTGTCTTTACAACAACCAAAACCGCGGCCACTCCTCTTGCACGCGACTATTGTCAATACCATCTACGTTCGTGGACGGCAGGGCCAGAACAAAGATTCCAAGGGCAACAATTCATCCAAACGGCTTACATTTGATGCTCGCAATCTGATTTCACAATATCGAAATTACTACTCTGATGACAAGCGAACTATTTTACACCGAGTGCCTGTTGGATCTTCCGCAGACACCAAGAATGAACCCCGCCGTGCAAAATCTTCCCCAATCCCCGAAAACAACACTATCCCCCCCACGCATAGAAGCAATTCAGCCCCTTCTCTTCCACCATCGCGGGGCTATCCTTTTATTTGGGCAAAGGAAATTCCCCTGGATACTATCTGCATCTGCGAAATGGGCGCCAAGAAATTACATCCTGGTGTCGACGACCGTCATGGTTCGAATGGACGTCTCGGCGAGAAATATACGGTCATTGCAGAGCGGAGTCTCAACCCAAGACTGTCACCGCGTCACTTGTCCAACACAACGCCCCCTCATAACACGCTTCCGTCCAGCAGAAAATGATTCATTGGAGATAATTCATGTAAATATAATTCCTACCTTTGTCAAATTGATGGGAAACTAAATTGTTTAAGGTATTTGCTTCCATTGCTGTATTGCTAGTGATATTAATGAGTAGACTAGATCCCAAGCCTGCTTGGGTTGCGGATGGTACATGTGGTTGGGGTTTCTCATCCTGATGTGAGTTGCGTTAAAGTGCACCTCGGGGCCGGTTGAGCAACGAAGAGAGGATCTACGACCTCTTCTTGAGGCATGCATGTGATATTTCGATGGAACACGAAAGCCAGATGGCTAGTACATCAATCCAAGCCTTGTGGCAGTGGGATGAAGAAGGCCGAGCGCGGTGAATTGCATATGGAGTCAAGACGAAACGGGAACATGAGTGCGGTTGAAAAAATGGCACACGGTCAAGCATCCCGAAATCATCTCAACCGACTCATGATGGTCTCCTGTCCCCGTTCAACAGACAACTCGGCAGCCTTAGCCTTGACGGCAGTAAGCATGCTGCGCTCGAAATCATCACGGGTACGCAGCACAGCCTCAACCCACGAAAGCTGCAGATCCCAGTACTCAAGCTTGAATGCTTCGTAAACCTCCACAAGCGCGGGACCCTTTTCAGTGGCAAGGAGGCGAACAAGCCAATCAACCAGCCGCCACTTCTGCTTGATAGTACCCTCGAATGAGTCAGGGTACTTCTCAAAGAACGCAAAGACAGTGAGGACATCGTCCTTGAACTTGTCTGTGAAGGGGTCGACGTGGCGGCGGAATTTCACACCCTTGTTGCGCACCGCAGACAGGTATCGCACCAACAGCTCGTCCGAGAGTTCCTCGACCAGGATTTCGGCAAGGGATGGATGCAGCACGGAGTTGTAGTCCGCCATGTAGTCTTCAAAGGTGGAGGTGATACGCTTCATGGCGAATTCGCCGTACCAGCGGGATGTGAAGAAGTCTGGCAGGACGGTGTCCAGATCGACCTTGAAGACAAGGTTCACGAACTGCGCCAGGCAGTGCGTGCTTAGATCTACATAGCCATCGCGCAGTGCATCCAGCTCGATGGTCCCTGTGGTGGCCATGTACTTGGGCGTGATCATAGGCTCGAAATCGGCCTTGAACCGCGTCAGGTAGCCGAACTGGTTGCCCTCCTCGTTGTCGTCGATGCAGGAAATCTGGTCGTTGGCTATGGCGATCAGCCAGTCTTGCAGCAGCTGCACACCTTCTTGGTCCGCGCCTTCTGCTTGGTGCTTCGCGCATTCTTCGTCCACGAGTGTCTGCCATGCAGCCTGTCGGTTCTTCAAGGCCCGGTACATGGCGTCGATGACGCCCTCTACCAGGTCTGCACGGTCTGATGCCCCTGATGCCATGACTTGTTCATGGAGCATACGCCACATGTCGGCTAGTGTCTTGGTGCGGAAGTGGCCTTCTGCGTTGTTGTCTAGGGCATCTGGGACACGTTCCACGAGTGACTTCTTGTCTGCGTTGAAAATGCGGTCCATCCATTCTTCGACGGCGCCGATGATGACGTTCTGCCACTTTCGGACTAGCTCTGGCTCACGGTCGTCGAGAATGTTGGGTTGGAGGTCCGCTGATGTCCAGCCCAGCTTCTTCATTTTCTTGTAGTACTTGTCGCTCCAGTGGATGATACTGAGCAGATTATCGGCTGGAAGCTCGGGGTCATCGATCATGCTGAGCAGGAAGTCATGCATCATTTGATGATAGATATCAGTGTATGTTTTGAATATCTTCCATTTCTTCGGGACAAGGCTCTGCATGCCTTGCTTAACCGTGAATAGATCATTGAAGTACCACCGGAATTTCTTCTCGAGATTTTCTGGATCTGCAAGGAAGCTTTCGAGGGTCTCTTCAAATTGGCCCTGAGCGTAAAGCTCGATAGCTTGGATGAATTTGTCCTTGTAACCACGCACAGTCTTGGGACCAATGTTCATAGACTTGAAACGACTTGCGAGGTCCTTGTGGTCTTTCTGGGCCTCTTGCAACGCTCGAACTGTATCATCATTTTTCTCCTCGTTCAAGACAACAACAGCGAGTCGCACAACCATACTCTTGTTATCAGCCTGCACCAAGGGAATGAGGTTCATGCAAGCCGTGCCAAGGTGATCATCAAACCACTCAATAACAGAATCTAATCCCTCAAAGTACTCTGTCAGAGTCTCTTCAGAGCTTTGGTCCTCCGCCTTGCGAATCTGATCCAAAGCTTCATCGCGGAAGTCCCTTAACCGCGAGATCTGCATATGAGCCCGCAGAATATTAGGCTGATTCTCCATATCGTCATCATCCTCTTTGAGCAAATCCTCCACTTCCTGGATATCCGCGCCGAAATTCTCCAGCCCTCGTTTCATCATGAGTGTGGCATCAAAGTGGCGTTGGATCCGCGCAAGTTTGTCAATCTGCGCAAAGTCCTCCACGCTATGCTGCGACTCGGCGCACAGCTTGTCGATGCCTTGAAGCTCATCTTTTGTTTTCGAGACTTGTCGCTGGCCTTCAGTCAGAGCACCAATGCTGCGTTGCACGGCCTCCAGCTGGTCTCGCAGACCTTCACGCAATCGTGAATCGACTGCCGTCTTCTTCCGCAGGTATTCCGCTTTGAGACCGCTGATCTTATCTAGATCTTCCGGGTGCCGTAGGAGGTCTTCGAGTCGCGGCAGCGCGACCGTAGTATCAATGTTACTGGCTTGCGCCATTGTGACGGTAGGAATGTCAGGTATATCGTGGTGTCGTTGTTCTGGCTCAATCGCTTGAAGCTAGGGCGAGGGGTGAGGTGTCAACAATGCGGGCATGTGGCGTTGCTTGCGGGAAGGTAGGACGTAGCAGCGAGCTATGATATAAATCCAAGTACTGTCCCACCGGAAAGAGCGCAGCCCATAGTCTCAGCTTGTAAAACGTGAAATACTATATCAGCTATCACAGGCCGATAGATTGTGGTCGCTGCTGTCATCGGATAACGGCAGAATATACACGTGACCTACCGCCTTCTAATTGAATTTGCGGGATCGCGAGCATCTCCAAGTCCGCGACGTTTCTCCGCCAGATCACAGGATCAATTGCGCTGCAGATATCGACTGCAAATTCTTGTCCACTGATACTCCGGTATCCTCCTACATCCACCGCATTCGAGATTCCACCTTTTCCGAGTTCAATTCCACGACTCCGGATAACCTCCAATCCATACCAAAAGAACAAACATCCGAGTATCAGATCTCCTCGATCTCCACAATCCAATATGTCCTACTTCCGCATCACCCTCGTCCGCTCCGCAATTGGACTTCCCCGCCGCTCAACAGACGTCCTCAAGGCCCTTGGCTTGAAAAAGCGTATGGCAACAGTCTTCCACAGCGTCTCGCCCTCTGTCGCGGGTCAAATCATGAAAGTGAAGGAACTTGTCCAGGTCGAGGAATGCCAATACCGCCTCACCAAGCAGGAGGTTCACCTCGAGCGCAAGCCTGATCCCGGATATTATACCGAAAAGAGCTGCACCGAGCAGCGGGGGGAAGTTCGTGGTCAGTGATTGTTCTCATTGAGCTTCGCGTGGAATGGGATGCTTTTCAGACAGGTTTTTTTCGCCGGTCTTGAAGACTGAGATGGGATTTGAGTCTTTTGAAATGCATTTCACTCGGTCGGACGATTGATCGATTGATCGATCGCGTCCTCTTTTTATTGTTTTGGCTTTGCTTGCATGGAGCGGGTTGCTTTTTCTTTCTTTCTCTTTTGGTCATGTACTCTACGTCCACATCTATCAGGCCACGTCTTTCCGGCAAACTATTGTATTATATGCATGATTACCGTCTAGTGGAATCCAACACTTGAAACAAATATGTGCAATTGAAGGGACCTGGATAATGATAACGCCACTGCACCAGCAGTTTAGGTAAGGACAGCTAGGAGAAACCAGGACTATGCCTTCGGGGTCTGGACAGGCCAAGCAAAGAAGATACAAATAAGGAAAACCGACATGTTCATTCCAAGACTCATGCTTTGTACAAAGTGTCCAAGAACCCTTCGGCCAGACGGCTGACGACACTCTTATCGGGAATGCTGCCAGCCACACCGTACAGAGCAGAGGTATCACCACGCTTGAGGATATACGATTTGCCCTCGCGCTTGCGCTGCTCAGCCTTCTCAAGCTCTTTCCCGATAACTTCAGTCAGATCAGCAATCAGCTGGTCGACGGCCTTGGCAGTGGGAATAGTGAAGGCGCAGTGGATAGCCGGGGGAGATTGGAGGGCGTTGAGGTGCCAGCCCTTAGCAGACAGGTCATCGGCGATATCATAAATGTCAATGGCACCGTTCTTGCTGCGGAAGGCGACCACACTGACGATGGGGTTACCAATAACCTCCATGTGCAGCGAGATGGTCGCATCGGTCCGAACGGCGGTCTCGAACTTTCGTGCCGCGTTGATGATATCGGTGCAGCTGTTAATATATCCAGCTTCGCCGACGCTCATCAGACTGGCCCAGCAACCGGCGATCAGAGCACCAGGGCGGGAGCCCGCCACGGAGGGCGAGGCATAAACACCGCCGGACCAATCGGGATAGATAAAGTACTGGTTGTTTCGGTATGATTTGTTGCGGTAGATCAAGACCGAGTTACCCTTGGGCGCGAACCCGTACTTGTGGGTGTCGACACTGATGCTGGTCACACCGGGTTGGCGGAAGTCAAAGCCACCCTCCTCCTCGTAGGGTGAGGGGAAACCCGCCTTCTTGAGGTGTGCAACGACGAAAGATCCCAAGCAGCAGTCAACGTGGAGAGGGATCTTGTACTTGGTGGCCAGATGCGATAGAGCAGGGATATCATCAACAATGCCGTGGGGGAAGTTGGGTGCTGATCCGACAAGAAGGACGGTATTGGGGTTGATTAAACGGCGAATAGCGTGCACATCGGCCTTGAACTCGGGTTCGGGGCAAGGTACTCGATGCAGCTTGATCTTGAAGTAGTTGCATGCCTTGATAAATGCCGCATGTGCCGTATCGGGGATAATCCTGCGATGATTGGTTAGTCCTACTGAAGCCTACAATATCCCTGTTTCCACTTACATCTCGGGTTCGGTCACACCGCGCTCCAAGAAAGCCTTTTGCCGGGCAGCCAAGCAAGCCATAAGAATAGACTCCGTGCCACCGCTGGTGGTTACACCGGCGCCATCCGAGGGGGCGTTGAAGAGAGCGAGAACCTAGAGCAGCCGTCAGAAGGGCTCGTACTCCGATATAGGAATAATCATGCATACCATAGCAACCACCTCAGCCTCCATCTTCCGAACACCAGGGAAGACATCGGGATGGATTGGGTTCGCGACACCAAACTGCCCAAAGGCCTCAGCCTGTAGTTTCAACAGCTCCGCGCCTCCATGGTAAACGGCGCCGCTAACGCGACCGTCTTCCCAGCGGGTATGTTCAAGTCCAGCCAACTTATCAAGTTCAGCGCGGACCTGCTCCGGCGACCAACCCTCCTTAGGCAGCGTAAGATACCGTGTAACATCCGGCCCGGAGTTGACCAGCTTCGACTCGAGGTTCGTGATAGCGGTGCTCACTTGCTTATCAACCTGGCCGCGGACACCAGGGACGCGCAGGAAGATGCCGTAGCAGAACAGGCGGAGTGAGATGTAGATGTTGCGGATGCTGCCGAGGATGCCATAGCCGCGGACGGAGTAGAAAGTCTTGCGCGTATACCGAAGAATGAACAGAATGAATACGATATTGCGAACACTACGTTAGAAATCAAAATGCGTAAGTGGTTGCCTTTCGGCTTTTGTTCTGACCTCGATTCTGCGGGGAACGGGGAACGGGGAATTGACTTACAGGTCTGGAAGGTTCAGGGCAGACAGGTGTGCACTGGACACCCGGCTGTAGCCAACCAGCTTGTTCTGTAGGGCAACTGGCAGCATTGAAGAGGTCATTATTCCCCCTAGAAATAGTCCTGCAATAATGATGGGTGGGAGTGGCGATGGGGAGGTTTCATTCCAGTAGTACGTTTTGACTAATTGAGTCTTAGCGGGCCTCGGCTGCCACATGAAGCAGCCGGTTGCAACTTTTTACAAGACATATAGAAATCAGGTAATGATTGACTTAAAGAGTAGTATTCTTTATCATAATGTTTTTATAAGTTTCGCCCTAGCTAAACCCTTCATAGACTATATCCTGGCCTTTCTCCACTGACGTAATTGGTCCAGACTGCCTGCCTACTTCAACTACAATTAAATGCAATGCAACTGAAGTCAAGAATAAGTTACTGCCTCTTCTGCGCTAAATGTACAAATAAAGGAGAACTCTCTTCTCCTAACACAAATGTGCTTTTGGCTCTCCCAAAAGAAAAAAAGAAAAAAAAATAGGAAGACTTTTCAAACCCTTATATGGAAAAAATGTCAAAACAAATGAAAAAGCATCAAATCATCAGGTATTCCGCCACGCCCGAATTGTGCACAAGCCACTGTGAGATAGCCTCATACAATATATGTATTGGTAAGAGGAAATCGCCTATACCACGAGGCCGGCAGCCTGAGCCTCAAGGAGCTCCTTCTCCTTGGCAGCGAATGCGGCTTGCTCGTCAGCGGTCAGGTCAAGAAGGGGCTTGTTCTCGCCGGACTTGAGGTTACGGTGGTAGGCACGGATAATGCTGTCGGCATCATCGACGGCAATGGGACGAATGTCAGCCATGGCCTTGATCTTGGCAGTGCACTCCTTGTATTGAGCGTCAGTCATCTCAAGCTTGAGCTGCTGGGCACGCGACTTGATGGCGTTCCAGCCGGTCAAACGGGAGGCGAAGTGGACGTAACGGGTCATGCCGAAATCGGCGGGGTTGATAATCTCGTAAGTGCTGGGGTTGTTGAGGATAGCCTTGGCGTGGATACCAGCCTTGTGGGTGAAGGCGCAGAAACCGGTGATGTAGTTGTTGAAAGGAATGTTGACCTCAACAGCCTCGGCGACGAGGTCCTCGATCTCCTTGAGCTTCTCGAGCTTGTACTTGCCCTTGACGTAGTCGCGGTCGGCGACCATCATGCGGGCCATCAGACCACCGAGAGGGGTGATACCGTTACGCTCGCCGATACCGAGAACGGAGGTATCGATGTGAGTGGCACCGGCCTCGAGGGCACAGAAGGCATTGGCGATGGCACAACCAGTATCGTTGTGGAAGTGAGTCTCGATATCACAGCCAACAACACCGCGCAGAACGCGGACGAGCTCGTAAACCTGGCGGGGGGAAGCGCAGCCAACGGTGTCGGCAATACCGACACGGTTCACACCAACCTTGTCCACAGCGGAGTAGATTGACAGAAGGTCAACCAGGTCGGAACGGAAAGAGTCCTCACTGGAGAAACGGATCTCAATGCCCTTGGACTTGACGAACTCGATAACTTCAATGGCGGCGTTCTTAATGTAGGTCATGTCCTTGCCGTGAGAGTGCTCACGGAGGTAAGAGGAAGTACCGATAACAACATCACTATGGAAAGTCAGTCCCGAGTCAATAAAATAAGGACAAGATGTAAGACTCACACTCCATCAACACCGGTCTCGACAGCAATACGGGCATCGTCCATGTGGCAGCGAATGTGAGTGAGAATCTGAAAGATGTTATTAGTATATAGTCACGAGACCCGGGCAAAACCCTAACGTACCTTGGCCTTCAGACCGAGCTTGCAAATGGCCTCGCAATCCGCGCGGGACTGCTCAGAAGCGCAAGGACTGGTGAGCTCAATCTATAGCGTGATTCTCGTTAGCCTCGTTTTTTGATATTCATAAACTCTTCCGGTGACTCACGTAGTCCACACCGAAGTCATCGAGAGCCTTGGCAATCTCAATCTTCTTGGCAGTATCGAAGAAAGCGTTGGCGAACTGCTCTCCCTCACGCAAAGTAGACTCAATAATCTTGAAGCGGGAGACATTGCTCAGGAAATCGGTGACGCCAGCGTCGTGGCCGTAGGGGTTGCGGGATGCGGAGGGGTGGGGGTTCTGGCGAGTTTCAATGCCAACGAAACCAGAGTGGTCGCCGTCTAAATAGAGGTCAGTAAGCAATTCTAGTAAAATAGTCGTCAATTGACATACTGGGAGCAACAGCCTTAGCTTGCCCATTGGGCTCGGAGTCGGCACCGGTACACATGGTGCAGATGGGTTGAGTATGTAGGGTCGAGATGGGTTGGAAATAGCCCAAAAGTTAAGAATAACAGTGATCGAAATTCAGAGAAAATCGAGCGGTACTTAAGATCTTTGTAGTAAGAAACCTTGAAAAAAAGAGACGGAAAGAAAGAGTCATAAATTCACACGCCGAAGTAGTGGGCGGTGAGCATAATAGGGCGCCCCCTTCCCCCCTCTGGGCGGCAAAAAAGAAATTTTTGATTGTGGAGAGGTGGGGGAGTTGCCATACGGAGGTGTATGATAGGATCTATACATTCTAACAAAAGTACACATTATTTGTGGTTATGACTCAAATATCTATGCCAATTCTTCTCTCCCCTGAACTTCCCTGATTGAAACAGCCATGTGTGTGCATTTTACTTCAATACCTTGGGAACCGACATCGGACCTTGCCCGTGGGGTCTGAGTCATAAGTCCACCTCAACTTCAATTGATAATGATATTTTCTACAGATATACTGAAATATTCTGTAATAGCTATTGATCTTCAAAAGGATCTTGAAACATTCGATCCTTTCTATACAGATTAAGTCCTACGTAAACGGGGTAGTGATGTCATCATCATTTCCGGCCTTCTAGTTGGCTGGCGCGAGATCTGCATAGATCTCTTATAGTGTAGACTCACGCCACATTTAAATAATTCAACGCTAATATGTTGTAGAACGGGTGTATTACAACTATCCAGAGTTTGCACATTCAAATGGCCGATTATATGTAATAGGCCTTTCCTATTATTAAAGTTGCCACTTCTACGACACGCTCACTAAGCATTGTGTCTAGCCCATTTAAATAGACTTCCTGTGTTATAAAAGACTCATCAGTGCATAGGTGGTGCACTATTTATACCTCTACTACGGAGTACAGTCACGTACATAGCAGTTAGCATAAAATATTATGCAATTCCTTGCGGCACCCGTAGACTGAACATCCAAGCCTCGGATGACTTTAATTTCGAATCTTGTAAAGGTACATACTCTCGCATTCTTTAACTACAACATAGTATATCTCAAGCTAAATAAGCTAATTACATCACTACGACAGCAATATTGGGTACTTGAATGTCAAACTTTTGAATGGATTTCTTTCTACTTTGTATGGGTCAATTGAAGATCTTCAAATGTAAGTGTTGTTTACTTTCCTTCAACCCTTCAGTATCACCACCTGCTTTTTGAATTAACGTTATAGCTCTAAATAAACTAGCCATCACTATTTTAACCCTAACACTAAATAGTTCCTCCCACTCGCCAAAATATCAACACCTTACTGAAGCAAGATTCGCGCTGCCATTGCAGGCTGACATCACATGCAGTTTACTTCATTATCGCAGGATTACGTTTCAACTCGGGATGCTATTGACCATCTCCCATAGAATCCGGTACTATTTTGATTTACATGTTTTCCGTAGAGAAAAGGGAGTTATCTACATATTCTGGTCATGAGTAATGTCCTCCAAGAGACCCGACAACAAAACTCGAGCTTTGAATATACATGTCAATTGTTTACATCCAAATTTGTGGGGTAAGGAGCTTTATGCAAGTCAGAATCCACATGGAAAGATCTAATTGCAATATAAGAAGATTATCGTCAAAAGGGATTAATAAATCTAGAACATTCTCAGAATCAATTGCACAGGCATGGCGCCATTGGTGCAGAGAAAGGAGGTGCGGGAGTAAAATTAAAGCGTTGTGGTTGGCTGACGCTCAGGCCAGCTGTCCCAACTCCCTCTGAACACCATTCTTCTTCTTGTCTCTGACTGTGTCAATTCTTATCCCTTTCAGTTGGTAAGTGTCTTGAGATAGTTTTATCTTCTGTTGATTCTTCCCGAGACCTGTCTCACTAACTTGTTTCGCGCTTCAGCCCTCAAGATGCGTTTCACGTCGCTCGTCACTGTCCTCCCTGCCCTGGCCATGGCCCAGGAGCAGGTCCCTCTCGCTGACCGCGTGCAGGGCTGGTTCAACCAGGTCAAGTCCTACGTGCCCACCGCAGCCCCGGTTTCCCCGATCGAGCAGCTGGCCGAGAAGGTTACCGAGAAGAGCGTCACCCACGTGTCCTTGAACAACTGGCAGTCGATCCTTACCCCGGGACCCCAGGCTGAGGACTGGTTGATCTACACCACTGGTGGCAACAAGACCTGCTTCGGTCGCTGCGGAACTGCTGATAAGGCATTCAAGGTGAGTTGATGTTTTGCCCCCGACGCGTCTTTTCGTCAAGACCCAAATCCCTAACAGCGTGTTTGCCAGGAATCCGTTCTCTTGTTCTCCGCCGACCCTACCTCACCTCACCTCGGATACTTGGACTGCGAGGCCAACCAGGTCCTGTGCGCCGCCTGGTCCGCCAGCGCTCCCTCCGTCCAGTACTATCAGGTCCCCAAGGCACCCGCTGTTGGCGAGGAGCGTGCCCCGACTCCTCTCCGCAACATCTACCTGAACTCCACCACCGTCACCCCCGCAACCATCTACGAGATCCACGCCAAGAAGACCTACGAGAAGTTCCCCCCTATGAGGGCGCTCTCCACCCCGTTGATGGCTGGGTCGCTAAGTACCAGCTCAACATCCCTATGGGCTACGTTATCTGGGCTCTCGGTGCCGTCCCCAGCTGGCTGTTCATGATTGGTATCAGTTTCTTCAGCCGTACCATGATGTAAGTTGAAATTGATTTGTGTCCTTTTTGTTATCAGTCTAACACCGGAATTAGGAGCCGTCGCGCGGGTCCTACTGGAAACGCCCCTCGTGCTGCTGCCCCCGCTGGTAGCGCAAACTAAATGGCCTCTTTTGGTCTATGTTGGTGTTTGGGTTGTATATAATCAGTGGTAGTGTATTGTGACGCGTCCAATATGCTTGGGTTGGGTTGTGTTCTTTGTTGGGCAGACATCTGTCGGGGATGGAGCCTTTTCGATCTTGGGCCTTTTTTCCAGCTACCTTTTTAATCAACGTATCTCAGCTATTTAGTGGGATTTTGTAACAGATTCACCGAATGCATTATTAGTAACTCTTTTGGCACTCCACCTCCCTGTTCAGAACATTATCTTTAAAATAGCTTTCCAAGGTTGTAGCCCCTCTGCTACCTGGCTTACGCTGTGCATTTTCTTTATGGTTCCCATGCTATTGCAATCTGAGCCATCATATTCGAGGTCGTAGTCATCTCCCGATTCGGAGTCACCCTAGGGATAAGAGTCCCAACTATGCCGCAGCTCAGACCAATGAGCTGGTCGTACTGCAGGATGACATCTCTCTTCTCTTCTTCAAGGGAGGACCGAAATGAGCGCAGCGATGCTCTGCTGCGAGACCGAGATATTGGTCTCATTGGCTTGGTAGGGGAAGAATGAGATCTAACCGTAGTGGTCCATATTGCTAGCTCACAAATTGGCTATAATTTGAGACAGAGCTAAGTCAGACATGGCTGATGTACTCGATATCCTATCAGTATTCAAGGGAGAATCGTCTGGCAACTCCTGGTCTACCTAGTCCCCTACCGCCAAGTTTGACACAAAATCTGCATAATTTCGGGTGCAATAGAGCCCGGCATTCCGTTGATTGTTCGTCGGACTGCCATCCCTCTCTCGGTATCGAAGATTCAAAAGTGGATGTAATGAACATTTTGAGATTTTTAACTGTTTGTACCGTGGATCTACCCCGGATTATCCCCGCGCGGCATAATCGCTCCCGAGGTTGGAACATTTGCCGTTCAAGTTGGTCTCTTCAAGACCCGTGAGAAGACCAGAAATCAGTCTTATCTTGTGGATTCTTTCTCTGTTCACCATTATCGACGCTTTTGGGGTTATTGATCTAGCAAGTATGGTTTCTAGCACAAGGCCTTCATCCCCGAAGGTTAGATCTAGTCATGCTGCGCGCAAAACAAAGCGGTTTCGATGCGAGCACTGTGATCGGCAATTTGCTCGACTAGAACACCAACAACGACATGAGAGAACTCGTGCGTCCTTACATTCAAATAGTCGACACAATTACTGATGTAGGGTAGATACACACGAAAAACCTTTCAGCTGCTCACAATGTGAGCGTGACTTTTCAAGAAGGTGGTTTTCTCGGAAGGGCTATGGTCGATCACCGCTAACATTTTAAAGTGACTTGCTGGTCCGCCACGAGAGACTCAGTCACCCGGGATCCGGAGGACAGGGCGAGAGAAGAGGTGTGCGCCCATCAAAACAGCCGCGACGCTCAATGCATACAGAAAACGGGCCACAGAATGCCAAAGACCTAAATTCTGGATTTTATGGGCCACAATCCTTGGCTGATATTGGTGTCTCTGCGGAAGAAACTGGTGATCAATATTTTGAACCGATTTACGCGGGCTCGGGTGAACCCACCGGGATCAGTTTGGAAGAAATGAACGATTCATCTCAATTCTTGAACCAAGGTGGTCTCCATGAACAGCAGTTCAGCAATACCAACGACCTCTCTCCTGATTTCTCTACTCAATTTCAGGCACAATTAACAGGAACTTTGTTGAGTGATTCGTTTCAAGACTTGGCAGCATTCATGGATAACCATACCCCATTGGCAGATGATTTTGCTTCATTCGTCTCACCAACACAGGGGCTCGATTTCCCTTTGCTAGATCACTACAACGGTACTGGATGTATATCCCCGGCCCTGGGTGCAGATTTGAGGACGGTAAGCACACACCAACCGGGAGAGACAGATACATTCTCAAGACTTGGGTCACGTTTACCGTCCTTACAGCCAGAAGAGGATACATCACGAGCTGTTCAAATAGCCCGCGCAGTAAATTTGTTTGAAGGAATTAGCACACAGACTCGCAGCATTCTCATCGCCAAGGTGGAACAATTTGCTGCTGTGATGCCTCAAACATTCCAAATGCCATCCAGACTAGCTATGTCTCGTTACTTGACAGCTTATGTCAAGGGGTTTCACGAGCACATGCCTTTTCTGCACATTCCCACTATTTCAGCGGAGGGATGTCGTATTGAACTTGTACTGGCCATTGCCTCAATTGGGGCACAGTATTGCTTTGAGCCCCAAAAAACAGTTCAACTATTCCAAGCAAGTCATCTCATTGCAAGAGAGCGAATCAGAAGACAAGATGCGTTATCGGAGTCTCATACAGATAATGATCAGCTGTCCCTAGGGCGCTCCGATGACAAGCCTTACAATCAGTCAGTACAATATAAAGAGAATGAAATCCAAACCGCGCAAGCTCTCTTGCTCCTCATGGCCGAGGCAACATGGTCAAACCACCGGACAATCTTGCGTGAAGCCCTAGCCATCCAGAGTATTCTGGCAACTCTCGTTCGCGATGATGGTCTCAAAACGACACCGCTACCGGAGAATACCACTTGGGAGAACTGGGCTACATATGAGAGTACCAAGAGAACCAAGTGGATAGTGTTCTGCTTCTTCACCTTGCACACCATTGTGTATAACATTTCATCTCCAATTCTTAGCTCAGATGTCGATGGGATGTTACTGCCTTGCAACTTTGCAACTTTTCGAACTATGTCCGAAAACAAGTGGCGAAATTTGATGGGCAACGAGCATGAAATTTGGTTCAAGGATGCATTCTCGCACCTATTCCAAGAAAATTTCGATACTACTCACACGGCGCCAAATTCTACACTTGGAAACTATATCCTTGCCCACGCGTTGATTCAGCACATCTACCTTGTCCGCGAAGTCTCCCGCCATCGCCGAAAAGAGATGCCAGAAGAAGAAATCGCATCTATTGAGCTTGCCTTGCGAAATTGGAAATCCATGTGGAAACACACCCCGGATTCGAGCATCGACCCTTCAAACCCTGCAGGCCCGGTGTCCTTCAACTCGACTGCTCTCCTACGTCTAGCATATATTCGGCTCCATGCAGATATCGGGCCCGGTCGCGCACTTCACACGCGCGACCCGGTGCAGATTTCTAACGCATTTCTCAATGCTCAGATAATCTCGAGGACACCGAGGCTTCTACGGGCTGTGCTTCATGCGGCACACGCTTTGAGTATTCCTATTCGCATCGGCGTCCATCTTGTCTCACAGACGCAAACTTTCAGATGGTCCATCCAACATTCCTTGGCTACTCTTGAATGTGCCTTCTTACTAAGTAAATGGCTGGAAGCTCTATCCTCGCCTGCAGCAATTCAGTCTATTACTCCTGGCGAGCATAGAATGGTGATGCTGGTGAAGACGATGTTGGATGAAACGGACTTCGCCGTTCCTTTGACCTTCACTGTTGGATCGCCGGCCGGAATGAAGTTGCTGTCTGCCAATGTTTTGCGTGTCTGGGCAAAGGTTTTCTATGCCCCTGCACAGGTATGGGCTATAGTCGAAATTGTGCGAGTCTCGCTGGAGCTATGCGCGGATTTGGTTGAAAACATGTAAATCGGCTAGTGGTCGTTGTATACTTTAGCCCTAAAAGCCAACTGGCCAATTCATTCCAGTTTATGCTAAAGCCCCGTACCGCTCATTTATTAACTTTCATAACACCCGTAATAAATTCCCTGTGCACTTTCTATCCAGAGATCCACAGGGCTTACCACAGTCTGAGCTTGGACACTTTCAAAGTTGGATCTATTCAACCCTAGTGCCATCTAACACCGTTCTTCAATTCGTCATCTTGACAGGTTACTGTCATGATGTACAACTAGACTGGAAACCAATATTCATACGCAGTCCAGGTATAGGTAGCAGCAATTTATTTGTATCATTTCTGCAGGTTACCTTTCCTACGACGTCATTGTTTTCAGCCTGCTTCATAAGGCTCACAACCAGGGCTCGTGATTTATATAAAGAGCCAGAATCCACCCGTGTAGTGAGGTACATTGTTTCTGTTTCTCATAAATATAAATTCCACTTTGCCTTCTCTGGCCCACCTAGTATAAAATATATCAACTGTTCCTACGAAGGCAAAACGTGGCCACACAACGGGCAAGGTCATACTAGTTGGAAAGCGCCCTGCATACTCCTCACTCGAGAACTGACTTCTTCTATGTCCTCTCATCACTATCATCATGCTGGAAGACCAACTTATTTGACACATTCAGATGCCTTGATAAAGCTGCTCAGAGCGGGAATAAAGCCCTAGGAGCGTCCCAGGCTAAGAGATTGTCCATTTGCAAAAGATGCAGTAAATCGCGATCCACGATCTACTCAGGAAACTTCGAGGGCGGTACCAACCTCGTTGTTTGGCATGGAGATGGCAAGCAGGAATTGTTTACTCTATCAATGCATTGCAAAATCGCACTCTCAATTTTCTCTCATATTCTATTATCTAGTAAGTTTCAGACTTGAGCCTTGGCTCCCAATTCCCGTTCCTTCTCCCCATTCTCCGCCATCTCATTTAACGTCTTTTCGGCAACTTTCATAGCATCAACGCCAGCTGGGACACCACAGTATGTTGTCGCATGCAGGATAGCTTCCCGGATTTCAACCTCGCTCAGGCCGTTGTTGCGAGCGCCTCGGATGTGCACCGCCAGCTCTGGCGCACGGTTCAGAGCCATCAGCATGCCGATGTTGAGTAGACTGCGATCACGTCTCTCGAGACCTGGTCGAGTCCAGGCGTATCCCCAGCACCATTCGGTGACCAGTTCTTGGCCAGGACGGGAGAATTCGGTTGACCCGTTCGCGAGGGCTCGGTCGACGTATGTGTCTCCAACAACTTCGCGTCGGACTTTGAGACCTTCTTCGAAGATTTGTTTGTGCAGGTCATTGAGTTTGGCTTCTGTCGACATGATGGATGTAAGGCAGGAAGAAGAGAAGAGAAGGAGAGTTAAGGTGTTTTGGGGGTTGAACGAAGCAACGAAATGTCGTCTTGGGTTGTTTGAAGGGAAATGCAAATGTAGCTTATTATTTTGAGCTTGGGAGTCTCTTGAATATATTTATTACTGACTATTTTCAAAGTTCTTGGTCTTGGGGGAAACCGTTCATGTTCCCCACATCTGTTACCCTTCCCCCAACATTGGGGAAATCGGGGAACATGGTAGGTTTCTTCCCTACTCAGTATTCACTTATTTATGAGAAATCATTACCCCGAAAAGTATAACATAACATCAAATTGTTTTATTTTCCATATCGATATTTAGAATACAGAATGCATGTATAGTGAACCGATCGACTAGACCGGTCACATGAACTTTAGATATCAAAGGGCTATATTCACAGAGATTCATTTATTGAGTAAAGGAATAACAAGCGATGATGGTACGATCATAATAGCTGTAGACATGATACTATCGCCTGGTCTCTTCGACAAAGAAGGGGTGGGGGGTCAGTCAAGAATCCAGTGCAAGCAACCCCAGCTCTTCCTCGACCGATGGAAGCGGCCGGTTTTCCGCCTCCCGAGCCAAATCACGTTTTCGAATATGATCTTGAAGCTGTGCCAGACCTCCTCGACGCTTGCGAAGAATCATATAATGATTTCCGTAATCATCTCTATGCTTGAGCAGCATTTGCAGCGGCACCTCGTAGCATTCGTCAATCTTCAAGTAAGAATATTTCTCTAACTGGGAGATAATCAAAATCTGCTCCGAATTTCTATCGGGGTAGTTTCGAAGCCGAAGTTGGATTGGATAGCGCTCCTTCCTGGTTGGCGAGATCGGGACGTAGTCGCCGCCATCGTCTAACGTCGAAGTAATCTAATGAGATTTAGTAGATGATTAGTCTGTCTCCTCAGCACTTACTGTCATGACTTTGACATAGCGACCCCCATTCTGGGCACCGCTCCGACGACGAGGACCCTATGACGACGCACTATGTGAGGGATGATTGTAGCATCTATGCCTAAATCAAAGCATTCTGAAATGGGCCTGATTGTGTAAATCTTGCCCTGTGCAAGATCTCTTTCGGATGCCATCGCGATTTGATAAAATCTGGGCCTGTTAGTGGAGAGGAATGAACGACGTCGAGCGAGAGGATGATGGCAAGGCGTAAAGCGGGGTAGGGCCATTTCGGAGTACTTCATAACACGCAAGTTGTATAGTATTTCTATCCTTTCATTCATCTCTCGTTCTTCTTTCCTTTCTCGCTTTTGAGGGGCGTTTTCTTCCATAACTCCGAGGTCGAACTTCCCACAAGGTAGTACTAAAAGTGTTCTAAGTATCAAGCTGATAATGCAAGCTACTCTATAACGACTACTTCTTAGAATGTGAACAAAATTCAAACCAAAAATAGATTCAAAAAGTACACCGATAAACAAGATATCAAAGCGGCAATCAAAAAAAAGGCTTCCCTTAAACATCATTAGTATCTATTACTGGCTAAGTCTTTTGATAAAAAGAGTGCATTCAACTAGAATTCTAAACATAGGGAGAAGGGGAAAGGAGAAAAGGATTAGTTAAGGACTAAAGGTATTTATAGGTGAGATACGCTGGCCACTACTCCGATAAGTAATTTCTACCGCATGATTTTCTTGATTAGGACTATTCTGTAAACCCAATTGCCTCCACGAAACAACATGTTGTAACTTGTAAACTCGAAACAATCCCGATCCTTCCTCTTGGAGGCCGCTCTCAATAGGACTCTGCTAACTAGCCCCGAAGAATCGAGCGTGATTTTCTGACCTCTCTTCCCACTCCACATCATGGGCCAATATAACCTCAACACCCTCAGACTCAAGCTGCAAAACCAACTCAATGGTCTTTTCAGCCTGCTTCTTATCTGCATGGATGCAACAGATGTGACCAGACTCATCATGCCATTCTCCAATCTCCCTCTCTCGTCTCATGATACGTCGATCATGGCACGCATCACCAGCTAGGTAAGTATACTTACCTGGACCCGTGCGAGCGAGAATATTAATATGTCCGGGGAGATGACCTGGTGCATCGACTATTAAGACGCTTCCGTCTTGGAAGATATCCATTGTCCGGGGAAGGAACCCATGGGGTATCCATGACTGGCGGAAATCCGGCGTAGCTGCATTGTTGGCAGATTTATCAGTAGGAGAGCCCTTTTCTGTGGCACCGGTTGTAGGTGGGAGCTCGATGGTTCGCGACACAGGCAGCAGATCAGGCTCGAAAAAAGAATGACTTCCACGAAGGGACGAACTGTCTTCTAGTAGAGCCGATGTGCCAGGGCCAACAACGAAGGTGCTTTTATCGAAGGCTTTTGGCTCGCCGATGTGGTCCCAGTGGACCTTGATGACATTTCAGCTGGGTGAATTCACGCTACGATCAATGCATGGGATACATACGTGTGAGTATACCACATAATCGATATCATCTGTCGATAGTCCACCAGCTGCTAAACTTTGTACAACATTCGGTTCCGTAGTCATAGGCTGTCGTGTCTCTAAGTGACGTTGAATTGGGATCGGATAATTGGTGGATGGATGCCGTAGGCCAAGATCGAAAACGATTCGTGTAGTCTTGTTTACTGAGTTGACATGTTGAATCAAAAAGGATAGCGAGGGCACTGTTCGCCTTGCGCTTTCTGAAGAGGGGTGTACGAAGAGACGTTCTGGCAGCGTGAGGTGACCGGCCTGAAGAGCGTGCACTTGCACATAGGGTTCGTTATCAACAGACATGAATGCGAGCCTGAGTGTCAACTACTAATAACAAACAAATACCTAGTCCGAAGTTATGTCCTTTTATTTAACAAGGGTCTTATTGCCCTTAGAGTGGGGAAATTAATGAGTTGGGGATATCTGTGTAAAAATATACCCCAATATTGGAGTAAGGAATCCGAGTCAACCGTACATGCCGTTCCCTGTAGATAGAAGAGATTTATATAGCATCGGGTGGTCCTTCATGTTACATCATACTCGCTCTTCATATATCTCTCCGGTTCTCCCCTCAAAAGCCCTTGGGCGCTTGGTTGTTTATCCTTTCTTTTTTTTACCTCGCACCTTCCATCGAACTTACGAGATTAGTTTTGATCTAAGATTTACCTACCTCTTTGTGTCCAATCTTACACCCACAGGACTCTCAAGATGACGAAGACAAATGCCATTGGGTTTATTGGCCTTGGAAACATGGGTTTCTGGATGGTGACCAACATGGCCAACAAGCTTCCGGTCAATTCCAAGATCTATGTGTTTGATATCGTCCCAACTCTCATGCATGATATCTGCGCGAAATATCCGAATAGGGTCATAGAATGCTCTGGTCCGAAGGAAGTTGCCGACAAATCTGTATGCATTCTTGAATCATTTCCCTTTTCTGTACTTTTCGAGAAGATGACACCAACACGATATGATATAGGATATCATCATCACCATGCTGCCCGAAGGAAGGCACGTCAAGGCAGTTTACATGGGACCGGGTGGAATCTGCTCCAGCGAACTCGGAGAGAAGCTTCTAATTGACTGCTCGACCATCGACACCGGAAGCTTCCTGGAGGTCAAAGACCACATTACCAAGAACTTCCCTAGTACTTCATTCTACGATGCCCCTGTAAGTGGGGGTGTCATCGGAGCGGAGCGAGGAACAATTGCATTCTTTCTCGGCTGTGCAGAAGACGACACCAAGGATATCCAAGAGCTCAGGCAATTGTTCAGCCTGATGGGTAGCAAAGTCATCCAATGTGGCGGCCCCTCTTTCGGACTCGCAGCCAAACTTTCTAACAACTATCTCTCCGGTATGATCGCCATTGTCGCCTCAGAGGCGATGGACATGGGAATGAAGTCCGGACTAGACCCACGAGTCCTGGCCCGGGTTTATGCGGCCGGCACTGCCCAAAACACCATCTGTGATCGTTTCAACCCGGTGCCCGGAATTTGTCCCGATGCGCCAGCCTCAAATGGTTACCAGAACGGTTTCAAGGTCCAGCTTATGAAGAAGGATATTTCGTTGGCTTTGGACATGGCCCGTCGTGTGGGATCGAATAATGTGATGGGGAGTGTGGGATTGCAGACATACAAGGAGGCTAGTGAGGATGAGCGATGCAAGGACCTGGACTCACGGATCGTGTTCCGATACTTGGGTGGGAATGAGAACTGGATGGCTGATTATAAGAACGAGAATTAAGGCTTCAATGTGTACACCCCCGATTCAGAGCGCTACCCCAATTCCTGAGACGGGGCAGTTGGGGAACAAACAGAGGAACTGTAGATGATGGAACGAATATTATACCTGAATCGAACGCAAGTTTTCACTGAATTGAATGATTGTTAAAGTCTAGATGCAACCGCAATCATGTCATTCTTAAAGGTGGTTCATATCAGCTGTCAGCATATCTCGATCATGGGCAGTGTAAATAGACAGAACTGACTCAACCGAGCACACAACTGGCAATTTTCAGAGATATAAAATCAAAGAGAGATTGAGCCCCCAATAATGTGTTTTATCTAAAATGTGTCCTACTAAAGAAAAAAAAGATAAGCCCAAGGTGAGCGCAGTGGAACAAAACGTGAAGATATCCAGGGCGGTCGAGCTTCCCTCACATTTTTATTTTGCGCCACGCCGAGATCTCCAACCGCCATACAACCAACAAAATGGCCGCCCCAGTACCACTAGACCGGGTACCTCCCACAACGGCCGCCTATGTGATCGCAACGGCTATCATTGCAGGTGTGACCGGATACTTCATCGGCCAAGGCTCCTCGCTCAGCCTCTTCAAAGAGAAGAAAGAAGGGTGGCCAAATAGCTACGATGTGAAGGTTCACAGCCACTCCTCCGACGAGGACGAATCAGACTCCGAAGAAGAAGAGACCGACGAGGAAGATGAAGGCAACGGCGAAGAATTGTCCAGCTTCAAGGACAACAGCGAGGAGGTGAAGCTGGTTCTCGTCGTCCGCATGGATCTGGGCATGACCAAAGGTATGTGCTCTACGAACGATCATTCTTCGCATTCATGTTGCAGGCGCTTACAATCTCTTTCTTATAGGCAAAATCGCCGCCCAGTGCGGCCACGCTACCCTCGCTTGCTACAAATACTTCCTCGAATACGCGCCCAACTCGCCTATCCTCAAGAAATGGGAGCGCGGTGGCCAGGCCAAGATCGCATTGCAGGTCAAGTCGGAGGATGAGCTGTTGGTCATGCAGGCTCAGGCTATCAGCCTCGGGCTTTGCACGCGCGTTATTCAGGATGCCGGGCGCACTCAAATCGCAAGTGGCAGCAAGACCGTGCTGGGAGTCTTGGGCCCCAAGAGCGTGGTTGACGGCGTGACGGGACACTTGAAGCTGCTGTAAAGCACACATTGTACATGAGCTTTAGCTGTATTTAAGATAGGCGATGATCATGACGTCGACGAACAGCATTCCAACATTACTGAATCCTTCAAAATTCAGCATGCGCCTCAGCATGCGACACGCGGTGTGGTGCATCATCCATTATAGACGCATAGTGAGAATACGTGTAGCACGTTTCCTAGACAACAGTCCCGCAGAACAAAGTCTTCGCTCAACCTAAAATTCTTTTACAAGATACGAGTTCTATATAAGAGATGTTGGCAAGTCATGGTTATTCCCTAACCTCAGCGGCCAACGGCCAATCGGCAAAGAGATATGAAATATGACGCCGTCCGAAACCAAGCTATCAAGCCGAGCTCACCAGTGGGAGCTCAAGACCCGCGTCACAAGGCACAGACAATTAATCTGAGATCTGTCGACCGGAAACCGTAAAGGCCATCCACGCAAAAAATGATGGCTCCAAGCTCGTCGAAATGCCCAGCTCTCAACCACCACACAGAAACCAGTCAGACTGGAGTCCATGGACAGGAAATCTGGGCACAGATCCGGTTATGGTGAAGAAGAAAAGAGGAAAGAAAAAGCGGGAAGGCTCTTATTTATGTCGCAAGTGGGGCCGCTAATATTTTATGACACTAGGCCTAGATAGGAATAGTGCGATGTGGCCACATCATGTGACCCGATTGCGGTTATCAGGAATCCAGAAGGTCGCGCCGAAGGCCATTACACTACCGTCACCTCCCCTCCTTCTCCACACACCGTCGAAATGGCGGACGCTCTATCCATTGAGCAAAACAACAAGATTCGAGTGGCGCTTGGTCTCAAGCCACTCCCAGTCCCCGGTGCTGGCCCAGAATTCAGAGAAGACGACAGCGAGTCCGGCGAGGAAGAAGACCCTGCCAGTACCATCGAAACACGACAGGCAGAAAGTTACGATAACTGGAAGAAGGTCCAAGATGCCGCCGAAGCGAAACGGAAACGAGACGAAAAAAATGCCGCCATCAAGCGCTTGCGTGATACCGCTCAAAGGAATCTTCAACTCCAAGGATCCACACTAGGCGAGGGGAAAGACGAGGAACTCGATACCAAGGCCTGGTTGGCACAAACCAAGAAACGCCAAAAGAAAATTGAGCAGGGGCGCGCCCAGCGACTCGCCGAAGAACTCGAAGAGCGGGAGCGCCTTGCCGCGGCCGAGTACACTGCAGCGGATCTGGCTGGTATCAAGGTCGGACACTCTGCGGGTGCTTTTGAAGGTGGTGAAGATCACATCCTGACGCTGAAGGACGCCGCGGTGGACGACGACGAAGAGGACGATGAGCTCCAAAACCTCGATTTGGTCGAGAAGGAAAGAACCGAAGAGAAGCTTGAACTCAAGAAGAAAAAGCCCGTCTACGATCCTACAGCAGAAAACCAAGGTATTCTTTCACAATACGACGAGGAGATCGAAGGCAAAAAACGGAAGAGATTTACACTCGACGCCAAAGGCTCGACCGAGGAACGCGAAGCAAAGCGACAGGAAGTTTCCAATCAGTTACGGAAGAACATTATCAGTCTTGACTTTGAGCCGGAAGTGCCGTCCTCAGATTACATGGACATCAGCGAGGTCAAAATTAAGAAGCCCAAGAAGAAGAAGGCCAAAGCTACAAAACAGAGGGCTTTTATGGACGAGGACGAGATTGCTCCGGTTGCGGATTCAACCGATGCGCAAGGGTCCTCGGCCATGGATATTGATTCAAATGGTGGAGTCCCAGTCCCTGCTCGCCGCAAGCCCATCAATGAAGATGTTTCTTTCGTGGATGATGATGATCTTCAAGCTTCTCTTGCGTTGCAACGACGCGCAGCCTTCAAGAAACGCAAGAAGATCAGCCCCGAGGAACTTGCGAAGCAGCTGCGAGAAGAGGAGACTCAGACCCCAATGGAGATTGAAAACTCGGATAACGAAGGCGAGGAGCCTGGCCTTGTTATCGACGAAACATCGGAATTTGTGTCAAATCTACACAAGCCTACACTTCTCGCGCAGGAAGAGAAACCCACTAGAACTACGACCAAGGAGCCTGAAAGTCCCAGCGCAGAGCCCGAAGGAGAGGGCGTGGAAATAGATATGGACCGCTACGGCGATATCGAAGACGAAGAGGAGCTGACCGCGCGCATCAAGCGCGATCAAGAAGCTGCGGCCGAGCCACAACAACTCACCGGCACAGGTCTAGAAGAGGAATCAAGTTTGGACCAGGGTCTGGCTGCTACTCTATCAATGTTGAAGTCGCGTGGCCTGGTCAAAGACAACGACGGCAGCAGCAAAAACGCACTTATGCGCGATCGTCAGCGTTTCTTGGCCGACAAGTCGAACCGCGAGTCCGAAACAGAGCGACGCGCCCGGCAGCAGCGTGAGCGAGACCGTACCTCCGGCAAGCTTGAGCGCATGTCAGCCCGTGAGCGTGAGGAGCACGCACGCTGGGAGAACAAGCAGCGTGACCAACAGGAAGCCCGTCATATGGCCGACGTGTTCAACCGCGAATATAAGCCCGACGTCCAACTGCGGTATGTGGATGAGTTTGGTCGCAACATGAACCAAAAAGAAGCCTTCAAGCAACTCAGTCACCAGTTCCACGGCAAGGGCAGTGGAAAGATGAAGACTGAGAAGCGTCTAAAGAAGATTGAAGATGAAAAGAAGCTCGAGTCTATGAGCACGCTGGACGGTAGCCAGAACACCGGCATGAACACTGTTATGGACACTGCTGCGCGAAAGAATCGCCAAGCTGGTGTTCGCATGGGCTGATGCTTTTTTTTTTTCTCTTTTCACTAGCCAAATACCAATTTTACGATATCCAAAGTCTATCCCAAAAGTCCGAATCGTAGTTATATTTAGTCCAACAGGCAATTGCGTGCGAAGATGGCGGCTATTATATTTAACCGAATTAAGGCGTTCTCATACGGGGAAATACAGTCCATTTTATCTACTCCAACGGTGAGGGGAAATGGTGTGGAGTATAAACAGCCTTGATCAGTTCACCGGAGATTTGGACTTGCCGAGAAAAACATTTGGAGATGGGCTGATGTAGGTCTACGTGTTAGTATCCGTATACAAGGGATATATAGACATGAAAATATTCTACATTCCAGAGTCCAAATGATATACTGAAATATCAATTAGAATATCTAAATCCCTAAAAACAGTAATTGATCCCTGCAATTTAGCCGGAGGATGTAGCCAATCCCATTCGCACATCTCGCCGGGGTTGGTTGTACCTGGTACCTCTGCCGAGGCGCAGTAACATACCAACTGGTAGGTACTCGGTACCATTATCACATGAGTCAGGGCAAAAACATCGGGACTACGTCTCCGATCCTTTTATATTCTTTCTCTCCTCCCCCCGGTTCTTCCCTTTCCCTTTCCAATTCCCAAATCTAGGAGATCTAGGTGTCCTTTTAATTTTTCTTCATCCTTTCTGCCATTATGCTTTCCACTCTCAGAGTCGCCAGCCGGTCGGCTGCCTCCCGCGAGGTCAACATGCGCACTGTCGTGATCGGAGCTAGACACGCCTCAGCTTGGGCCAATGTTCCCCAGGGTCCTCCTGTAAGCTTTGCTGAGCTTGCAATCATTGGATTGGTGGTTTGAAAGGCCAATTCTAACGTAGCTCGGTTCATAGGACGCCATTCTCGGCATCACCGAAGCTTTCAAGGCCGACTCCTTCAAGGAGAAGATCAACCTGGGCGTTGGTGCCTACCGTAAGCCTTGCCCCAAACACTCGCCGCGTTGCGCAATGTATTGGATATTGGATTGCTGACGAGCCATCCTGCTGTTTTAGGTGACGACAAGGGCAAGCCTTACGTTCTGCCCTCCGTCCGCACCGCTGAGGACAAGGTCGTCGCATCGCGCTTGGACAAGGAGTACGCTGGCATCACCGGTATTCCCGCTTTCACCACCGCCGCTGCTGAGCTCGCCTACGGCCCCGACTCCTCCGCCATCAAGGACAACCGCCTCGTCATCACCCAGACCATCTCCGGTACCGGTGCCCTGCGCATTGGCGGTGCTTTCCTCAAGCAGTTCTACCCCGGCGCCAAGAAGATCTACCTCCCCAACCCCAGTTGGGCTAACCACAAGGCTGTCTTCTCCGACTCCGGTCTCGAGGTCGCCCAGTACAGCTACTACAACAAGGACACCATTGGCCTCGACTTCGAGGGTCTGATTGCCGATATCAAGGCCGCCCCCGAGGGCAGCATCATCCTGCTCCACGCTTGCGCTCACAACCCCACCGGTGTCGACCCTACCCAGGCCCAGTGGCGCCAGATCAGCGATGTCATGAAGCAGAAGGGCCACTTCGCCTTCTTCGACATGGCCTACCAGGGCTTTGCCAGCGGTAACGCCGACCAGGATGCCTTTGCTCCCCGCCACTTCGTCGAGCAGGGTCACAACATCGCTCTTTGCCAGAGTTTCGCCAAGAACATGGGTCTCTACGGCGAGCGTGTTGGTGCTTTCTCCCTCGTTTGCGAGAACGCCGAGGAGAAGAAGCGCGTCGATTCGCAGATCAAGATCCTCATTCGTCCCTTCTACTCTAACCCCCCGTCCACGGTGCTCGCATCGCCTCCACCATCATGAACGACCCTGCTCTTAACAAGCAGTGGCTCGGTGAGGTCGAGGGCATGGCTACCCGCATCATCGAGATGCGCTCTCTTCTCCGCACCAACCTCGAGAAGCTCGGCAGCAAGCACGACTGGTCCCACATCACCAGCCAGGTAAGGAGCGAAAACTGATTCTGATTCACTATGGTCCCAATGACTGACATGATATCTAGATCGGCATGTTCGCCTACACTGGCCTGAAGCCCGAGCAGATGGACGCCCTTGCCAAGGAGGTAAGATTTATATCCGCTTACTTTCCCCAGTTTGATTCCTAACAATATTCCTAGCACTCCGTCTACGCTACCAAGGACGGCCGTATCTCCGTCGCTGGTATCACCTCCGGAAACGTTGAGAGACTCGCTGAGTCCATCTTCAAGGTTACCGGTTAAATTTAAAATCGCCTAGAAAGGGAATTTTGAAGGATATACGATAAAACGAATGTTGGGGAGTGAGAAAAACCGGGCCTGGATTTCCGGTGCTTTGAAATCCCGGCCCCTTTGTACTGATATCTACTGTCTCTGTTTCATATTTAGCATGTCCGTTTCAACGGGGATTTTGGATTCATCTTTGACCTATTTCTCTTGTTCCAGTATAAAAGTACTCTATAAACTCATGGTAGTCTTCATCTGTACTGCACATCCAGCTCTCTCGCCCGCTCCTCAATCTGCCCCCAAACCTCCTCTCTCGCAATAATATGCACCCACCAGTTCCCAACGCTATCCTTCCCAGTAACAGTCACCATATTCCGTGGCCCATTCCCATCCAACGGTTCCGGTCCCGCTGTATTAACATAAGAGGGCCTACAAGGTATAAATTCCTCCCCAGTCTGACCTCCGACAACCGCACCTCCAAAATCAACCCCAAAGAACCCAGCCCTCTGCCAATTGGTACAGGAAATACCAAGCTGTCTAGGATGACCAGCAAGTGGCAAACACCCCATCTCGCGAAGCGTCTTCTTCCGCAACGCTGTACGTGCGAGAACCTGCTCCTTCGTCCGCTGCGTCTCTAGCGCAGATCGGATCTTCATTGCAACAGGACCCAACCGGCACTCGAAACCCGTGCCGTGATACCAGTCTCCAAACTCGCGTGCCTCGAAGTCAGAACAGGATGGCATTATCGCGTTCCCGATGTACACCCCCGGAGACGAGAGGCCAAGTATAGAGCGAATGTCGAAGATATTCGAAATCTGGACTGGAGCGTGTCGGCTGGGATTCTGAGCTGTGACGAGGAGTGTTGAGATCAACGCGAGGAGGATATCGCTTTCGCTGACGAATGGCCGAGGCTGGGCTTTGGCCTGCTCGTCATTCTGGATATTTGTGCTTATTTTGCCATTTTCTTCTAGCTCCTGTATCTCCTGCAGTGCCCTCTCTCTCAACTCGTCCACATATTTCCCAGGAATCATAAGGACTTTATCCTCAACCCTCGGAAACCAGAACTTCTCCCACCAGCCCACAAGAGCAAATCGCAGCAGTAAAATCTTTCCGAATATAATTCCTGCAATTGTTGGTTTCTCGGACACGGCTTCGGTATGTGATTCTATGAGGTCTTCATCGAACCCGAGGAACGGGGGGATGTCTTCTTCGCGGCTTGATAGTACCGCTGTCCATGCATGCAGGAGTGAAGATAGACCCATTGCATCCATGAGAGTGTGTTGGAATGTCAATGTGAGCAGCGTTGCGTCGTTGAAGAGGACTGTATGGATGACCAGCTGCGGGATGTCCGTTTGTAGCCAATCTGCTATGCCGGTGGGTGCATTTTTGTGGCGCACGAGAGGGGAGTACTTGGTCATGCCGTCTAGAACGCGGACTTTGGTATTTTTGTCCAATTGTGCAGAAGAGGGCATCTCTGATGCTAGAGGATGGGCTTTTATACTGCCGTCATGTTCCTCGGCTGTGAATATGAAGCCTGGTCGGTCTTTGGTGAATTTGGCCGGGAGGTGGTAAACCAATTTACCCGAATTCTGGTATATGGGCTTAGCTATTGGGACTTTGGCTTTCATCAACTTTCTGGATATTTGGCACTCACGTCTAGTCGTAGACGAGCTCCGAGTTTTCGCCAGTTGTCGATCTCGAGTAGACGGCTTAGAGAATTGCGAAGTCTCTCTGGATCAAGTTCTTTGTCGAATCGGAGTGTGACATTCATGCCTATTGCTCTGGTATGAGGGACATCATCCCAGAAATGGAATGGAATGATTGTATCCGTGGAGGGTGAAGATGCAGTTTGGCTGGGTAAACTCATGATGGGGTTTCGAGATTTGAATATGCGATCAAGTCGAATATGAAAATGACTTAATTTGAAGAGACTGCTCCTGTAGAATAGATTGTCTTGTCAAGTGCCAATATTATCTCAACTGGATATTATCAAGTGCCATCTAAATGCCTATCGACTTGAATGATAACCACGTGGAACAGAGGATGTAGTCATCTATATTCAGGGATGAGTTGACTCTAGTTATTTCTGGATTATAACTTGCTGAATTGGAGAAAAGAGAGGGGAATGTGAGAAGCCAGAGTAAGCCCTAGTCCTAGGTTGCATGATTAGCCAGTTAGCGCCTGGGCATTGTAATTCCGAACCAAGGCCTTGCTCTTTTGGGCGTAGACTATATATTGGTATTTACTTAGCTTTCAGATGATAACATTCAGATGTCCTTTCAGATGTAGGCGCTATAGTAGCCAATATACCTAATTAGCTTACTAGGTAAGGCTCTAGGGTATAGGCGCCTACTAGCGGAGGTTGCTCTAATCTCTTCGGAAATGTACATTTTTGTCAATCCATTTGGTAACTGCCAACGATGTCGTACTGCCAATGAGATTCCATTTTGACAAGGACTTCTGCACTCGGGTTGAAGAATTTCGTACACAGAATTAACAGCTCGTGATTTGATATAACCTGTAATAGCTGCTCATCTGTCCTCCCATCGTCGAGTGCTTTTGAATGCACTTCAGGTCATTCCAGTCCAGAAGATTACATTGCCATCAATAGGGCATTTGGAAGGCAAGTCGGTAAGGGCAGTCCAAAAGAGCTGACTTGGGCAGAGCCTTGCTGTAAGTGGATAATGCTTTTTGTTGGTAGGGCTTGTCGATCATGTCTAGGGAAGTCTTGGAAAGCCTTGACCTGGTACCCATTTTATTGGTCCTAATATGGCATTTGTATGTAAGTGAAACTAGATCATAGTGCATATACGCCATTCGCTACTTACGGTTGGCTGTAGTGCGATCGCACATCTCCCAAACTGGGCATGGATAGAGTCACATAGCGTGATTTCATTAGAGGTATCGTTGAACCACTTTTCCACATGCTTCTACTTGCCCTTGTTGAATACGGGGAAAGCAGCGATAATCAACCATTGTTTTCAAACTCCGGTCGGTGCATCTAGCATTCATTACCATATGATCATTTATACACCGAGGTTATAATACTTGAGGTCTTATCCACGACGCTTAACAATATGGGATTATGTGCGCACCTTCAGTCTGTCCGAAATTGATGTCCTCTGGGTGGGTCAACTCCTAGTGTTCGATGTCCAGGTCCCCAATTATCACGCGACGATTGCTGTCTCATTTGAGAGAAAGACGCTAGCACTTTGCGTCTTGGGCTTCTAGTTGGTTTAGAAAATATTAAGGGGAATATTTCTTGAGAAAGATTGTGAAATCGAATGGGAGAAAAAAAAAGATGAGGGGAGTCTATGGAAGAAACAGGAAAAAGGCAGTTGCATTCCACACCAACTAGAAACATTAGAAATACATAATCCATCTACTCAATACTCTAATCAACACATAGCCAGAATCCATCTAGTTCACTGTGTAAATACTCTGGAGTGCCTTCACCGCGAATGCCGTCGTCACGCCTCTGTTTCCAAGCCTCCTACTGGACCCCGGGATGAGATACATCAACGAAGGTCCCCAGCCTCCATCCTTGCACTGGGAAGCAGTCAAAGCATCAATATCAGGGCGATTCGCGATTCCAAGCGAATTGCATACACACAGTCGCATGGCCAAACACAGTGCATCTCCTTCGGCACCGATCCGCTCAATAACCCGCGTCCGAAGAAGGCCCTCAAATCGGTCTCTTAAGATCTGATCATTAGACCGGGAGAGGAGTCGATCCATGTAATACAAGAACCACTCCGGGGTAGTGTAGTATCGAGTGCCGTTCATATAGGCCCTATTGAGGAGAATGTCGTAGATCCAGTTCAGAGTTTCTGGCAGCTGGTAGCCTCTTTCGTACATGCAGAAAAGTGTGAGAATATTGAGACAGATCACTGCGTCAACCCTGGGGCGTGAGGTATCCAGGTAAAACTGTAGACCATCTTCGTCAGCTATATAGTAAAAGGGTCATTATATATGATGACTCTCTAACCTTTAGCAAGCCATCCTCGTCAACGTTATTCAGCATTTCATCCAGCATGGAATTCACTATGGAAGATTCGTAGGGCATCGATGCCAAGGCTAAAGAGGTAGTATCAAGGTCGTCCGGGTAGGTTTCTGTGGTGAACTTTGCTGCGCCTAAGGGATGATAATTAGCTTCAGGTTTGCTCGTTCACTCCAAAATAGTGCAACTCACCCGTAAAAAAGTTCCAAAATCTAGGTGGACGACTCAATGACACCAGTGAGCTAGTCAAGAAAATCTTGTTAACTCTGTGGACGCGTTTATCCAGGGAGTAACACATACCTATTACCCGTCGTATCCAGTATCAAAAGCTGAGAGTAGTTTTCTTCTACCACCTCTCCTCGATCTGTGGTCGAGAGGTGCTGGCCAGCATTAGCCTGGAGGAATGCCTGGCCTCGCTCTACCGGATTACCAGTCATGTTCATGAGACTCCGCATGAGATTCTCGCCATCGGTAAACACAATTCCTTTGATGCCCATAGCAGAAGCCGCTAGGACATTCTCCGCCCGATCATCCACGAAAATGGTGTCTCGAGGTACAGCACCACTGGCCCCCAGCATGTGGCGGTAGAACCGCATACTTGGTTTGCGGGTGCCCACTGTGGCAGAGGGAAAGCAGTAGTCGAAAAGGGACCAGAAATCCTTTCCCCACAGTTGCTGAAGAGCCAAGTAGTCTGGGCTGGAGATGTTCGATGCGAGAATGAACACCACTTTGCCACCCATGGCCTTTTTGAAATCCAGGAGACTTGCCACAAGATTTCGATCGTAATCAGCAATTGTACGGCCTTTCCTTATGGCCATCGCAAGATCATCTGCTTGGAAACCATATTCATCCGCTAGTTTTTGGTAACACTCTTTCTCTGAGAGCTTTCCACATTCATAGGCCATCCATGTCGATGTAGAGACAAGCCTTTTCACCGATACAGAAGATGTGTGGGTATTCAGCTGCACCTGACCAAACTTTGGATGGAAAAGTACACCTCCGAGGTCCAGAACCAGGTTGATGGGACTAACAGTGAGTGGTGGGGATCGAGTCATCTCAGAAATAATAACGCTTGTGAGGAGGAAAAAATATAGTAAACAACCTGGAGCACATTGCCGGGTGTGTCGTGATCTATATATACTTTTCCCCGTCCCCAAAACGAGATCAAGGGCGTTAACCTCATATCCAAAGGTGTGTTGGAAGTATGTAGGATAGAGCCGAGGTAAGCAAATTGTGTACCCCAAGGCTGTATACAGCCAGCGCCTTGCTTCGATCTGACTAGTCTATGTGAAGTACTACATGCATATACCTACTTCTTGAGGTCATCCCTCCATGTGCACACCGCTCTTTCCACGCGTCTATTAAGTACGTGGAGCATGTATACAGCGGGTTCTAGAAGCCATCGCGGGATTTGGACAGAAAATTGATAAGGTATGTACAGCCGGGGCCGCCCCCTTGCCCCGGGATCTCTAGAGCTGCAGCCACTTAGGCATCAATAATACAATAGAGGTTAATAAAAACTTGATTTCACAATAAATGCTACCATAGATACGTACAAGTGTAAAATTTACTTAGATGTCTTATACAACATTAGGCAATACGGCCACTAAGAAAGGGATTAAATATAGAGAATTCCTACTAATTTCTTAACCCATTTCGTCCTTCTATGTTGATATAGTGTAGCTAGCGGTTTATATAGTCCTAGAAACTTTCAAGGCTACATTGCCGGAGAAATTTCCTGGTTTAAATAATCTTATCTATAAATAGATCTAGATTCATTGGGGTTTGCATCCTTGCATCTTGACATAAGTCCTCCGTACTATCAACGTGTTCATCAACCATTCTGACGCTCTACGGATCGACCTTGGAACGAGTCTTATATCGTGTGGCTGATGCTACAGCCTAACTCTCAACCATTTTCGCCATTTCCAACTGCCACCAAGTATCTCCTACCACCGCACAATTGGCAATTATACCACAATATGCCGATGCTCCAGCTAATCACGCTTGTGAGTACCCTCTGTCTCTCGATCTTGACAAACCGTTTATATCTTTACTTTTCCAGGGAGTCTTAATATATGCTATCTGGACGGTAATCTACAATCGATACGTTCACTCGCTCAGCCAGTATCCAGGCCCCTTTCTGGCATCCATCTCGAGGCTCCCCCATGCCAGCGCCTACATTAGCGGCCGACTACACACCTACGCCAAAAGCCTCCACGAGCAGTACGGTGATGTTGTCCGGATCGCTCCCGATGAGCTGAGCTTTCGAACAGAGCAAGCGTGGAAGGATATCTACGGGTTTTCAACAAATTTCCCAAAGGACCCGCGGTTTTTCAATGTTGCAAAAAACGGCGTTTCCAATATCGGAGTTTCTCCCACAGACGATATCCACCGTCGTCAGCGGCGAGTACTAGCTAGTGCCTTCTCTGACACGGCGCTGAAGTATCAAGAGCATCTACTCCAGGGATACGTCGATACCCTCATAAAGAAGCTGCACGAGGAGGCCAGTGCTAGATCTACAGTCGATCTGGTGGAATGGTACACCTACACGACGTTCGATTTCATGGCCGAATACGTGTACGGCGAATCACTTTCATGCCTCGAAGACGCCCGCTACCATCCTTTTGTCTCTATGCAATTTGCATCGGTCAAGGCGTGGACTATCCTCAGCATGTCCAAGTATCTCCCTCTACTGTCATATCCGATCAAAGCCATCGCGCTTTATCTCTATCGTGACTTGTTCCGCACTCGAGCGGCGAACGTCACCTTTACTGCCTCGAAGATTTCTCAACGGATGGAAAGGGGTCAGGATCCATCCACCCCAGACTATCTCTCTCATGTGAATTCCAAACAAAGTCTGAAAGCGAAAATGTCCGAGGAAGAAATAAGTGCTAATGCCAGCTTTCTCATGGTTGCTGGCAGTGAGACCACAGCAACTAGTTTGTCAGGATGTACTTTCCTGATATTAGATAGTCCAGATGTCCACCGGAAACTGGTATCAGAGATCCGCTCTCGATTCCAATCCTCCTCGGAGATCACGTTTGCCTCGGTGGCTACTCTCCCTTATCTTGATGCCGTCCTGCAAGAATCCCTGCGCATGTACCCACCAGCGCCGCTTGGGATGCCACGAGTCGTCCCCGAAGGCGGCGCTACGATTGTTGGCAAATTTGTGCCTGGAAAAGTCAGGATCCAACACCTCCGTCAAGCTCTCTTTCTAACCACTGTTATAGACTGCTGTTTCCGTTCCACACTACGCTTCCTACCGATCACCAACCAAATTTACTCAGGCACACCGATTTTTGCCAGAGCGATGGCTAATGGAAGAAGATGAGAAATATTCCGGTGACGATAAGGACATCATACGGCCATTCTCGGATGGTCCTCGAGGCTGCCTTGGGCAGAGGTATGTGGAGATTTCAATTCTCCCCTAAGAACAATTACAAGGTTGGAAGTATTAACCAGCATATAGTTTAGCAAAAGCCGAGATGAAGCTGATTCTCGTAAATATTCTATGGCGATTTGACCTACACCTCTCCCCGGAGTGTTCCCAATGGGCTGATCAGAAAGCTTTTGTCGTATGGGCCAAGAAGCCACTACTGACAAAGCTTGTTATACGATAGTTGGGTTGAGATGTTTACAGTAGGAGGGTGATAACTATTCGGTCAAATCTATCTAATATTGAAATATAATAATAGGTCTGAAACTAGATAAAGTTTGTAGCCCTTTTCATGATACAGGTTTCTCAGCAGTCAATGTTTATCTTGTTTCCTGGCTTTCTTTCCTTTTTTTTTTTTTTTTTTTTGCAGCAAAGACTGTGATAGCCATGTAAATTCTGCACAGTCGGATGACACGCGTTTACTCAATAATAATATTAAATCCAAATCCCGATGCACATGCGTTAGAAAGGCATCTAGCGTGATGTGGTCGACCCGACGGGGCCGCTGCAAGGGGCAGCTATGATGTACCTATGAGGGGACAATATCGGGGGCGACTGCATGCCCAGGCAGTTGGAGTGGCGAATTATGATTGGAAATGTGAAGTGTATTGTTGCTAAAGTGGCAGGTAGAAGAACAATTTTGAAAAGTCAACAATTATTAAGAATCTGTCACTTTCGAGGTAATATGCAACCCAAGTGAAATTTGTCCAGTTTCCTTTCCCATAACGCCAATTGCGCCATAATATCCGTTTTTTTAGAAAGTCAAATGAATTAGTATCCCAGCATTCCACTGACGCCCATATCTGCGCCGCCACCTGTGGGGCCAACAGAGGGGCAGATACAGCCTGGTGGCGCGTTTGGGGCAGAGTATGGGTACCACTCCGGGGACGGAGAGGGAGTAACAGATCGGCCCATGACACGGGCTAAGATACCGGTAGGTGTACCAGCGGGACCCTGGCTTGCACTCAGAAGGCCGAAGCGGAGAAAGGCTTCGGAGAGTGTAACGATGATTGAAATGATGATCAGGACAATAATGATCCAGGTTTGGTCTATAATGTGGTCAGTTGAGAGGCTAGGGAGTGAAGAGAATATCAAAACATACGGGAAGTGCGGCTGTCGGCAATCGAGTCGGACAAGATCTCCGCAAGATCAAGGAATACTCGGCATCTCTCGTTGAGGACCTGAATACGTGGTTTGATCTCCAGATACTCGCGCACGGCGATGTAGAGCGGGTAAAGGGTTGGCTCGCTCTCCCAGAAGAAGTTGGGGACATCGAGCATATTAGACGCTGGTGGAAAATATTAGTATGGAACAAAGTCTCTTCTCTCAAAATGACCCGTAGTGGAGATTGGGAACTTACAAAGGTTGACCTCAACACGACTCTTAAACAATCGACCTAAGATCCGGAAAACTTCTTCACGCTTCATGCCCAGTTGCCCTGAAACAGCAAGACGTCTGGGAACATCTTTAGCGTCCGCCATCTGTCGGGCCATGACTTCCTCGAAGAAGCACAGTTTGGTGCTCTGTGCAATACCATGGCTAATAGCGAGTTTGATCATATGGTCGCCACTGCGAAGAGTGATCATGTCGTTATAAACACGTGGGCGCGAGATCTCGGTTGAATACTCGAAATGGAATTCTTCAGTCTCAAAGTCTTCCTCGTCAAGAGGCATCGTGGCCAGAGGAGTGGGGATGCCGGTTGCGGATGATGTCGCAAAGGCCAAATCTGCCAGCAGGTCTTTCTCCTGTCGCTCGGTAAAGTTCCAGAAGACGACGACGCCATAGCTGAAGACGAACATCTCAGCAACATTGTATAACGTCCGAGCTGGGGCTTGCGGTATCGAAGCCGGCGGTGTTGAGGACGAGGGTGTAGTGGCTGGCAGGGAAGGACGATCTCGAATCAAAGTGTGGCTGTCGTCCGTGCTGTGCCTTCGGCGACGGACTGCAGGTTCAGGCGAAGATTGCCGAGCTTCTTCATTGCTATCTTGTTGCGGGATATGCTGCAACCCATCGACACTTTCACCGGAGCTGGCAGCATGCTCATGGCCATTGGTGTGGCCAAGAACTTCTTCAGCGATGCGATTCAAGAATTCCTCACGGTTTTCCTCCCGAGAATCAAGATCATGGCTCTCAGACTGTCGCGGTGACGCTTCATAATGGTGCTCATCCTCTGGACGATTGTGTCCACCAACCGAATGCTCCTCCGTCTCAAGCATGTACTCATCATGATAATCACGAAGTTCATTTCGTTCAATCTCCTCGTCCAAAAGCGACTTGCCACCAGGGTATTTCAACACAGGGCTACTCCGCAGACGATACCCCTCATGGCCCGGCAAAAGAGGGAGATGATACGCGGTGTACAGACAATCATCATAAAGCTTTGTTCGCCCACCATGCTGCTCTTTAACAAAAGCAGCAAGCGATCCCATCTTATAAGCCTGGGCCGTACAGTACGCCGTAACACGCGCAAGCTTCTCCGTCCGTCGCGCCTTCGGCAACCGCTCGGCATAACTCTTCGCGCGCTCAGGCGCAACGCGTCGTTTTTTCAAGACTTCTTCCTGGGCCAAAAGGGGTGCAAGATCATTATCGACGTCGAAATCACCACCATGTCGCTTTGACATAAGCAATTGGTGTCTAATCCTTTCGGGGTCGACATTTTTCTCCTCAGCCAGTCGCGCGACAAGCTCCTCGTCCACGAGGTCCGCACCATCGGAGTCATCGTCGTCTTCTTCAGTTTCGCCCTCCTCTATCTCGCCGGTGTCAGGCAGAAGAACCAGCTTCTCGCTGACTTTTGTCGTTCGAGGCGGGAGTCGCGGTTGCGCGGCAAGTCGGCCCATCGTGCCACCGGATGCTGCCACTGCGCTTGAACTGCTACTGCCGGCGCTAGTTATTAAGCCTCCAGCTGCGGAGGCAAGGCGGCGTGACCGTGATATGGGTGGTGGGCCGCGCTGCTGCATTGAAGGGACGTCGGAGGCGTATTGGAGAACGTTGTCGACGGTGATGAATCGGGTTGCGGGCGAGCGGCGCCGACGGGGTGCTTGAGGCTGTTGCTGGTCTCGGGAATCTGTGACCTGTATTGGAAATATGTGTTAGTTGATCTTGGCTCGTACGGTTGATTTGATAGTCAATCCCACCAAAACGGTTGGGCTGCGCTGGCTAGTCCCCCGTCCTCGGGCCGGGGGGGTCATTGTCAAACGAGCTTAAAATAGGCACTTGAGTATCCCTTTAATGATTATTTGCTGGCACTTGACAACATAGAAGCAATAACTGGCCGTGGGTGTAATAATTGCTATGTATGATGCTCCGAGCCAGCAAGTTCAAATGGCCTCAAAGCTAAGCCTAACTAGGAATAGCTTACTGAGCGACCAAATGACGTCTCCTGTTGCAATCACGTGCATCTTGATTCACCAATCCCGTGACATTGCCACGTGTTATACCGCCCAAGGAGACAGGGCCCACCATACCTTATTCGGACTAGCAGATGGCAGATGGCGTTTTGGTCGATCTGGGGTAAAAGTGAAGATCGACCGGAAACTGGTTCCATTGTTTATTGGCTCAAAAAATGAGACTGAAGTACTGATATTTCATTGATATGTGAGGTTTCATTGTTTTCAAAATTTTGGCTGTCCACGAGTAAATGTTTATGTTGATTGGTAACCTGGCTATCGCGAAAGCAGAGTGCTACTTTAGAACATGACAAAAATTTGGGTCATAAGAATATGAATTGCTATGGTAAAGATGAACAAGATGATAATAAACATACAAACGCCGGGCCTGTTGGTTGAGCTGGCACTCTGTCGAGTGCGGTATGATCACCATGCAAAGGGGACAAAAATGAAGAACGAAATTAAATTACGAATGAAGGCCATCACGAAGCTGTCGATCTTCCTCCCAGATTTCCTTCTTCATGCGCTGCAGATGAGTGTGTTGCTTTTGCAGCTTGTCGAGGTCCACCTGGGGCGGGTTGGGGAGAGCTGCAAGGGAATCATGCAGGTTGCGGTACTTTGTGTAAAAGTTCTTGAATTTCTGAGACTTCTCCCGCAGCTGCTGTCGAAGAATCTCGTAGCTCATTGGTGGAGATGCACTGCCAGTGCTGCCACCGCTGGAGGAGCTGATCGCTCGGCGTCGCTTGGCTTCCAGGTTTCCGTTAGGACGTCCGGCCTGGGCCACAGACAATTGATCGGACTCAGCCTTGCGCTTCAATGGGTTGGTGGTAGAGGAGGTGGCCTTCGTGATGCCGTTGGCTTGGGAAGTAGTTTTGACGGTTTTGCCAGCAGCAGGGGCTATACGGCCCACTTTGGTGGTTTTGGCCAGCTGGGATATGAGAGGAGAGGATGAGGATGAACCGGAGGATTGGTTCTGGCTGTCAGATCGGTTGCGGCTGCTACTGGCAGCATCGGAAACATTGGCAGGAGGAGAGGAGCCGAGTGGAGACGGCTTCTGCGGCGAAGTAGAGGGTCGAGAGGGAGGACGCTTAGAAGCTGTAACTTTAGTGACCGGTTTGGATGGTTCAAGCTTAGGTGCTTCAAGCTTAGGCTTCGGTGCCTCAGCTTTAGCCTTCGGGGCGGGAGCAGATGGGACTGAAGTAGTCTCGGTGCGGGGCTTGGCCGGTGCCTTGATTTTCGGTGCTGGGGGCTTCGAACTGGATGGAGTCCGCTTGTGCTCCTTCGGTTGCTGCTTGGGTGCAGGTGTAGGCGCGGGAGCGGGAGCCGCAGGGGGGACATCAGGCATGTCGGTATCATCATCTTCATCCGAACTGTGGACGAACTCCGCAGACTTGATCTTGCTGTCCACTTTGACTGGGGCCTTCCCACCCGTCTTCTTCGTAACCCGTCCGGTCAGGGTGCTGTTGGTATTCTTCGTTTTGGTGGGTCGCTTGGTCACGTCTTTGTCACGAGCCTTTTGCGAGGCCGAAGTAGTCTTGGTAGCAGGCGCGGGTCCCTTGGTGGCGTGGTCGGTCTCATTGTCCTTGCCCGAGTCCTCTCCGCTGGCTTTGGCGAGTGGACCGGCAGGTTTCTGGGGTGGGCCAGTACGAAGGTTCAAACGCGAAAGGCACTTTCCCTTGCCTCGTTCCCCCTTTGGAAGAAGTGTTTGCCAAAGTTTGTCGGATCGAGAGATGCGCATGCGATCGAAGGCAGAAATAGAATTCTCAATGGCTTCCTTCCGGTCCTCCTCGGTGTAATTGAAACCAAACAAATCCAGATCCTTGTAGACTTTGTCCTTGAGATTGTATTTCTCGGGGTTGATTCGGTTCACGACCCCGAATTTCTCGCCGAGGGCGATGCAGTCTTCGACGGTGGAGCGGGTTTGGCGGGCAAGAAACTTGGCCGATACGGCGCGGACGGCGAGAAGGTGAATGAAGGGAATCTTGAGGGCATCAAGCCTTGCACGATCTTTGCTTTGCATCACTGGGGCAGATGTTGGAGTCATTGCGAGAGAGGGAGATTTGGGAGCACCCAAGACAGGACTTGCAGTGAGAGAACGATTGGCAGCAGTCTTGAGGAAGCGGTCTTTCTCAAGTTCAACTTTGGTGGTGGGACCTTTGTAGCCTGCCTTGCTGCCTCGTAGAGCCTTCAACTCATCCGGATGTGAGATGATGTGAGTTTTCTTCGACTCCTTCCCTCTCTCATGAGCATTTAATTTTTCCTCTAAATCTGCCAGCGCCTGATCGGTGGCCGCCGTAGCATTTTTAGCCTTTTCAACCTCAAGGCTATGACTTAGAACCCCTGTGAAATACAGTGTCTCTTTATCGGAGGAGCTATGGTAGATCTCAGATCGGTGTGTTTCGGGGTACGCATGGAACATTTGAGTTTTGCCTCCATAGTGAAGTGATGGGTGTTTTCCCAGCCGGACTCGAGCCGGTTGATCCTTCCGTAGGCTCTCAATCAGATCATCGAGAGTGCTCTGCACCAAATTCAACCGCATGATCTGATTTGGCTTCACCGAAGGATCACCGGACTGATCTCCGAGGTGGAGAGACAGCCCGGCCTGGGGAATATTCAAAGCGGTCGACATTATGTGAGTTGAGGAGAGGTCAAGGTCGGAGGGAGGAAGTGAGAGAGATTCGAGGTGAGCAGGGTCGGATGGCAGCGTGAGAGCTGCAGGTCAGGCGGCCAACTGCAGGGAGTGAGGTAAAACCATACGCCATAAGATCGAAATTAGAAATATTAATATGGTGAAGGCAATGGAAAATGTAAAATGTAGGTAAAGAGAGAGAAGAATGAGGAGAAAGGCAGAAGAGCAAGGCGAAGCGTAGAGTGGGGAGAGCTGACGGCGATTCCCTGTAAAATTACTCCGTACAGGGGATTCCCGATAGGTTTTTTCTTTCCTTTTTCTTTTTTCCAAATTAATTTCGATGTATTGACTTCTAAAAGTACAATGAATAGTACTATGATTCTTGTATATTTACTAGAAATATAATCCTATGGTCTCTATATTTCTATTCTGTTCCTGACTTCAATACTTCAATACTGCAATACATCAATACATACTAAAGTCATTCTGTCTCAGGGCCTTTGTTCAAGTTCTATCTGCAAATCTACTCCCTTCAGGTTTTTCTTCTTTTTCTTTGTTCCTAAAGTACATATATGTACGGAGTACCCGATAGTTGTATATCAACTTGGAAGGTAATTATATTTTACATCCATGTCGACACCATAAGCGCAGCCGACAACCGCAGATACATTATTCATCCAAATACATTACCATACAAATACCGTGAGGAGAAAATAACTCCAACGTTTCCCGAGTCTGTTGACGGGTGTGGTCGGGTTTGATTTGACTTCGAGATATATTAAACGTTTTCTTTACTATGTATTTGTTAGAAGAGAAAGAGAAATATGAAAGAGAACCCCCCTGGGCTTGCAGTTTATAAAAAGAACATCTGAAACGATAGGGTGAATACATTCCAATCTCCTAATGACATTATTTTACCCTGACCTCAGATACCTAAGGAATGCCACAGCTTTGCCCCTCGTTCATATGCACCCAGGCACGGATATCCAACCCGAAAGGTTCCCAGTGTTACCGTTCAATGTTTCGCCCTACATCGGACTAGTGGACTTCCTACGGACTATTACTCCTTTCGATAGGCTAGCGAGGAACGGGGCCAATTCCTCGTACCACATGTTATCGGGCTCCCTTTTGAGTACTTTGGCCTTTGGTCTTTTTTATTTCCATTAGGAACGTTAGAAGGATACTGGCTGTAAACAGATTGTCTCAAGGATATCTCCAGGGTAAATTCCACCTGGGTAGTTCACGCAGTTCACGCAGTTCCTCTTATTGGATCTTCGGTTTCACAGCTGCATGGAAGGTCCATTTATGCATCCCAATGGAGCAATGGAGAGCAAGCCATCAGGCTCCGGGGTGTATATTATTGTATTACGCCCTATTTTTTTTTCTTTTTCTGTTTCTGTTCCTTCGCAGTTTCGCCCCCATATTGGGTGTCGAACCAGTCAATTCCAGTCGATCTTGACCCCAATCAACATTCTCATACAGATGTGGCAAACCTGAGAGCATTGAAGTTACATTGAGAGCGTAAGCAGTGTAATGACCTGCATGGTCTACTCAATCTGGATGTAATTCTTCATAAGCCGGAGAGGGGAAAATACCGTGGATCCCTTGCGCCATTTGGCTTATTCTCCAAGTCTAGTCTGAGACAAGGGGAAATAATACCCCCATTGTCTGCCTCGATCTGCGTAGATCGGAGCCTGCAGATGTTCTCGGCTCCGAAATCCTTCGTCATCACTCGTATTCAATGACTCAAAACATCTTCAATGTTGAAGTTGACAATGTTTTAAGTATATTTATTTACTCTGTAGAATAGAATACAAATCCTAAATATCCAATATCCAAGCAAAATTTACCCAAAATGCCTACCCAAAATGACATCGCCAAACACCTCCGCTCCCTCCACCAACCCGGCAACCCCCTAATCCTAACAAACGTCTACGATGCCGCAACAGCCTCCGTGATCGCCTCACTACCAACAGCACCCGCCATCGCAACCGGGTCGTATGCGATCGCCGCAACGATCGGCGTCGACGATAACGCCCTAACAAAAACCCAACACCTGACCGCGATAGCCGCCATCGCCGCCTCCGTCCGTTCCACCAACCCTGCTAAGCCACTGACCGTCGACGTGCAGGATGGGTACGGTGATATCTCTGAGCTGGCAGATACCATATCCCAGGTTATTACGTTAGGCGTTGTGGGTTGTAATATCGAAGATATGGACGCGACTGGCGTGTTGCGGTCGGTAGATGAGGCTGCGGCGCGGGTTCGGGCTGTTGTTCAGGCGGCAAAGGCCGCCGGGGTTCCTGATTTTGTGGTCAATGCCAGAACCGACGTATTACTGACGGAGAATGGGACTATTGAAGAGGCTATTGAGCGCGGGAAGGCGTTTTTGGAAGCTGGTGCTACTACGGTTTTTGTTTGGGGCGGGCCTAGTGGGAGGGGTGTTTCGAGTGAGGAGGTGCGGAGGTTAGTTCATGCTCTGGGAGGTATGGTTAATGTGAAGATGAATTTGAGAGAGGGATTTCTGGGGGTGAAGGAGATTCGAGCGCTGGGCGTCGCGAGGATTAGTGTTGGGCCGGAGCTGTGGAAGGCTGCTATGAAGGCGTTCACTGAACGGGCTGAACAAGTGTTGGCTATGTGAGTACATACGTATTTATGCTTTTATAGACACATCCATGCATTTAGTACGTTTGATTCATAGGTTAGGCATTCAAACCATCGACAGGGTCATGCAGCCCGAAAGTTAACTGTCTGGCCTTAATTCAATACAAAGTCATTGGTTGGTACACTTGGTGTAGGCATTCTGATATATCACAATCCCGTATCATCAAGTCCGACTACACAACCCATTTATGCAAGAATTTCCATAACAACAGTGTTCATCGACAACGCAAGGCCCACCATCCTCTCTGCAAGACGGCCAGTCATCATCCGTCGATCGACATTTGTTAGCCGCGCAGTAGCCCGAGCAGCATTGGTCGTTCGGGGTGCCGAATTCACAAGATGCTAGCATTAGTCCAGTTAGCGTGGGATAAATTGTTTCTAGATGAGGTATCTCGATTCTTACAGTAGACTCCCGCGCAGGTGGGTGTTGGGACACAGGTTGTGATAGTCGTTGTCGAGGGCGAGACAAAGGTTGCCGTTGTGCATATTTCAGTGAGAACACAGGCTGGAGCACTGCCACATCCTCCTGCTGGACAAGCTGCTGCTTCTGTTTGGGAGGAAGACATGGTTAGTAGGTAGGTTCTTAATATAGATGTTGCTTGAAATACTTACTGCTCAGGGCGAGGTGAGCGAGGACAAGAACAAGAGCTTGATAAAGATGCATCTCCCCGGCCTAGATATTTGGATCTTAGTTGCGTGGGAATAAAGCGTGGTCAGTTGATTGAGGTTATACAGTAAAGCTGGGACGAAAGGACTTCTATGGGTGTCTATATATACATCGCACACCAAGACACGCAAATGCCTAAAGCATCAAGCTTCGAGCAAACGCACGACCAGATGACCTGATACGAAGCCATCTACACTGTTTTGTAGTGATGTTTCAAGTTCAAACTATATTCGCGACTACCCCAGACTTTCCATCTCGAACCACGGTCAATGTTCTCCTAACACCGCATGAATACGAGGGTCAACACGAGGCGCTCGATGAAGTCGAGATTCAATTGGCTTTTATGTGAGACATTATTCATCATTCAAAATCTTGCTTTATTGGCTTTTGATTGTTTGTATAGCAACGTGATAAACTATGATGTTGCTGGATAAAATTGCCGACTGGTAGGATCATTGCTTGGGATTGATCCTTATGTTTCCCGTCATCTCAGATCATGAGTATACAATAAATCTCAAGTCAAATGTCAGTGTACAACAGGAATTTATGTAAATGCCTGGAGATAGCTCATATCTCTCGAAGCTTGACTGACCCATGTCCTATGTACTCGCCAGTCAATATACCGCCCAAGGCAAAAACAATGCACTCGCGAGCTATTTGCTATGAATGGACAAAACCAAGCCTAAAAATAGTCCTAGTAGAGATTAAATAAACCGCACGAGTTAATCAAACCCAGGCTCCAACTCCTTACAGGGCGAAATGTGTGCCTTGTGTCCTCGGCTTTCACACGTTACACCCATATCGCTTCTAAATGCAAAACAACCAGAGAATGAGACCACGCATGCATTTTAACCATCTTTCATGGGAATAAAGCAAAGATACCACAGACAAATAGGTGGAAGGGATCTTCACCAACGAAAACAGTCTACGCACAATCAGCGATTTCATGGTGAAGCATATGCGAAGAAGAGCTCTCGTGGGATTTTGTGACCCTAAGGCCGGGTACTCCAATATAACATTCCGCATCAAATTTCAGGATGGCGACTCTACAATCCTCCGGTTCCCCACACCTGGAGTGAGAATGTTCCCCGAAGAACAGGTTCACAACGAAGTTGTAGCGATCCACTAGATCCATGGCCATACTTCTATTCCAGTTCCCTGCAGATTTTGGTACTAGGGGGGCGAGTCTACTTGGCTTGGGCCCTTTTATTCCCATGGAGTATATCGACCATGAAATAAACATGACCATGGCTTTGAATATGCCTGAGCTCGAAGTGGAAGACCGCCCAGGCCTTGACACGAATATGAAAATTGGTAAGCTGCAAATGCTGTGCAAATTAGTGTCTTTTGATCTTAGAACATTATAGTTCATATCCGTGTTCTACTACAATTATGTACCTTTTGTATGAGAATGACATACAAAAGATACCTAAATAATATATGGGTCGTTTAACCCCTCCAGGGCAGCCCCAAACCCTTTGGGGACTGGGGGCGCGAAGACGACTTGGACTTTGCGACCCAAGTTCCACCCCCCTATCTCCTCATACCCATACTCAGATCACCCCAGTGCCATCAAATCAGGATAAAAGTTTCCCTTCATTCGGTCATCATGGCTTCCCCTAAGACAGAGTGAGTGATCTCCAACATAGACATCTATGTACGACATTCATCGAAGGCATTCTCGACCGCCAACAGACGAATACCATTAAAACCCAAAGCTTACGAAGAGCACCAGTTTCCCCGCAGTCCGCGCCTGCATTTTCGACATGGACGGTCTCCTCATCAACTCCGAAGACATAATAGGTCTATCTACGAACCAATTGCTTGAAAAGTATGGAAGACCTCCTCTGACTCGGTCAATTCAAGCTCAGCTTATGGGTGTCGCGGACTCGACAAATGGCGATATATTCCACAACTGGGCCAAGCTGCCTATTTCCCGCGAGCAATTCGCCCGCGAATCAAGTGAGGGCATGCGACTACGTTTTCCCGATTGCAGGCCGCTGCCTGGCGCGGAGAATATTTTATCGAACCTAAGCCGTGCACGGAGTGCTTCGTCTGGGGATATGATTCAGCTGGCTCTAGCTTCCAGTACCAAGACCCGGAGTTATGAGCTGAAAACCTCGGGGCCAGAATCGAAAAGGTTACTGAGCTTTTTCCGCCCCGACAGAAGGGTCCTGGGTGATGATCCACGAGTGCGACAGGGTCGAGGGAAGCCAGCGCCCGACATTTATTTGCTCGCGTTGCAGTCGTTGAACTCAGGGGTAGACTCTGCGGAAAAAGCCATCCTGCCCAGCGAATGTTTGGTCTTCGAAGATAGCATCGCTGGAGTAGAGGCTGGAAGACGAGCTGGGATGAGAGTTGTTTGGGTACCACATCCAGATGTGGCGGTCGAGTATCAGCCGATGCACAAAGATATCCTAGCAGGGAGGTCGGGGAGATTCAAGGTCGGAGACGACTGGCAGCTAGGAGAAATTGACGACGGCTGGGCTGAAAGTATACCTAGTCTGGAACACTTTGATTACGAGAAGTATGGCCTCGATGTGGTATCTCAAATATCTTAATGGAACAGTTCAAATTCAATTTGGTACTAAGTGAACGTCAAAAAGTATAATCCCGCATATAAAAAGAAGAATGGGGTCCATTAACGGGCCCAAAAAGCAACGATCTCATCAAAGTCTTTCATCTTCAAGCTCTTCAAATCTCGATCCTCCATGGTAATCTCCTTCCTCAAGCGACAAGCAACTCTGAAGGCAATGGAAGCTTTTTGCATCTTGCCCATCCCCTCCAGCAACTTTCCCTTGAGGAAAGTAGTGCGAGCGATCTCATTCTTGTGCGCATTTGGATCAACTGACCAAATTTCCAGCGCGCCGTTGATCCTAGTACTAAGAGAAGTCAGAAGATTGTTCAGCGACTTGGTTAAATGGCAGTGCTTACATCGCCTCCTCGTTCTGGCCCGAGCGGATCAGGTGCTCGGCCATCTTATGGGTGATGTTTGCAGTGTAAAAGTCCCTCTCACCGACCGTCTCGCGCATGTGGTACCAAGCTCTGCGGTGGTATTCGAAGCTCTCCTCCCACTGGTTTTGTACAGCGCGTAGATTGCCAATAGCATACAGAATCAGTCCGGTCCGGACATCTTCCCTATCATTCTTTCCCAAGGCCTTCTCTCTGCCTGCCAGACTCTCCAGAAGAAGCGTATCACACTCTTCAAGCTTGCCCTGCGCAAGAAGACTCCAGCCCAGAGTGGCCTCGCCTGCCCGGGGAATATAATTACCCAGAGCTTTGCGTATCTGAAGCGCCCGCTTCAGGTCGGCTTCGCCTTCCTCGTACCGCTTATCCTGAATGCGTGAAATCCCTCGCTCTGCATAGGCGAGGTATAATCTGTCGTCCGCAGTTCCCAGCTCTTTGCAGATTTTGGAAACTAGATCCAGAGAACGCTCCTTGTTAATGCGACTTGTCTCAAAATCGCTCGCATCCATGGCTATAGCTCCTAGACAGAAGTGGATGTCTGCAAGCAGAGAATCCCGATCTGGATGTGTTGAGGACTCGCAGATACTGCGAGCAGTTTCAAAGAAGCCATCGAATTGCTTTGTTCGTCCACGCTCTTTTTGATACCTGGTAATGTTTAGACTATATAGCAAGCAAAATGCCTGGGTTTCGTATACTCACCATGCTGCATCGGTCAGTAGCTTTGCGAAAAGTAATTTGGTAGCCTCCGAGGAATCTAATATAGCTGGCCACAGCTGATGCATCCTCAGAACATGGGGGTAAATTGCTGCACAAGCAGGCCATCGTCCAACATATAACCTGTTGCCAGAGGATTTGGGTTGGGGTAGCTCTGGTTCCTTTGATGGCTTAGGCATAGCCGATGGCCAGTCCGCCCAGAGAATCCGCACCACTTGGTCAAACATGGACCGTTTCCTCTCAACATCCATTGTTGCCAGAATCACGTCTTGTACGATGCGATGGACTGATATTTGCTGCTTTTGTTTATCTCTTTGAACCAGAGATGATTGCAATAGATCAGTACGAGCCTCAATGTAATTACTTTTCTTGAACGACGTGCCCTCGGAAAGCAGCTCCACCGACGCTTCCAATAAATCTTCTCCGATGGAATCCGGATCAAGAAATGAGATCAGTTCTAGAAGCTGTTGAGTTTGAGGCTTGAGCTTCCCAAATGCCCACACAGTGGAGAGAGAGTGACGATATGTGACCAAATTAGTGTCGAACTTTGTCTCATAAAGACCGGCGTGTTCTTCATGATCCGTATACAGCTCAAAGAACTCTGAAAGGGTGAGGTCTTGTCGACGGATAATACCTGCCATCTGGGAGATGGCCAAAGGAACACCACCAAGTGCATCAGAAATTTGTCGCGCTGTATCGACTTCTAGCTCGTTGAAAACGGTAGTGAGATGATTGAAGAGGGAAAGGCTGTCTTCCGGTGAAAGTGGACCGAGATCCAGGCCTGAGGGTCTTCTCGTAAACATGCTCTTCGTCAATGGGTCGCGACTGGTGATAAGAATCGACCCACTACCTTGGGGCCAGTAGTCCGCCAAAATTATTGGGTCATCTGCGTTGTCGAATATAAGCAACCAGTTTGCCTCTGATCTAACTTCGCACGGTTGAATAAACCCATCTGACCCTGATAGATCTTTTCGGGGATTGGAAAGCCATCCTTTCACAATTTCCCTACTAACAACCTGACTCTTACACTCGGATGAATCTTCGAGTCCTAGTGCCAAGGACATTTGCTGGTAATGATGGTCAAGTTTCGCAATCTCATCCGCCACGACCCAGAATACTGCATCAAAGGAAGATTTGTGACGTCGGGCGAACTCGCGGGCTATTTCGGTCTTTCCAATGCCTCCGAATCCGCAAAGTGCAAACTGCCTCAGAGCGGTGCTTGATGCTGTGACCCTGTTCTTTGGAGGCAAGAGCTCAGTCGCAAGACGCTCCAAAATATCTTCGCGGCCGCAGAAATCCTCATTTGCCGAATGCGTGTTGAGAAGGAAGCATGGTAAGTGGAGGGTTTTAGAAACCTCAATTTTTGGGGTGGAGGGATGCACCAACTCAAACCCTGAAAGAGATGTTCCCTCCGTTGCTATATTCGAAGGCCATTCGGTTGCTTTGTTCGAAGGCCATTCCGTGAGTTCCAATTGCTCAACTAACCGACGTCAGTGTGATAACCTGGTGAGATAGGGATACCCAGCTCACTCTTTAGTGGTAATTCGCTCATTGTGGGCGAGTAAGTGCTCGTCGTTGCGTCTTGAAATTCCTCTGAGACTATTAGTGCCATTCTGCTGTCTTCTGCTTCGACTATAACTTACGATCCTCAAGCCGAAGTGCAAAAAGAGATACAGCGTTATGCAATGTATCGTAAAGAAATTTGTTAAGCTCTGGTAAACTTTCGCCACCAATGCTCTTGGTGAAAAGGCATGTATCGTGATGATTGAGATTGAGGCCGATGACGGTTTCCATTGGGGCACGAGTTGTACAAGCTTCGCGGGGGACCAACTACGATCGAAGTTAGCGTTGATGATTCAATCGAGGGCTCCAAACTGACTTGTTGGTATTTCTGGTGCAGTGTGGTCGAACTGGTTTTCGATTCCCTCAGTTCATACGCGGATAGTATGGGGGCACTGAATGAGATCCCTTCGAATCTATGTGCGAGGTCAAGCAAGATGGCACCTTCTTGCTCAATATTGGTGCTTGGAATCCTCAAACTCTTATTGGTCGTTGCTTCGAAAACATCTCGAAACCGCAGAAAGGTCGTGGTCTTGTCGCTGTAGCGATGCGGAGTGCTGAGGAAGATAACGCCAGCTATAGCATTGACAAGTGATCCATACCGAAGAAACTGTGTATTAGCGATGCACAATGCTTGTTTGACCAGAATACCACCCAAGCTGTGGCAGACTATGAAAACTGGTTTGTCGATGGTCTAAAGGAAGTAAATCAGCAAGCATACCGACAGCTCGAAGAGAATTAATCCAAACATACTTCATATGGGGCTGATGTTGATCGCGCATCACTTAGCTGTTGGAGAAAGTCGTGACCTAGCATCAAGCTTGACTCCCACGAAGGCTTGGTAGCCGCAAATGGCGAAGCATATTCATAGGCGAGGATGCGCGTCCCAGCACTGGGGCCCGGTAGAGTGGCAAGCCATTCTTCATTAGCAAACGGCCATTCTTCCGGTAAGGTAGTTCCAATACCGGGAACGAGAACAACACTAGAGAGTAAGTGGGGGCACTAAACCGAGACTGTAGATTACTCTTACTCGACGCCATCCTGAGCATCATCAAGTGGATCCCGTAGTACCCGAAGGTGACCGGTCATGAAAGTCATGGCCATGACTGCAACTAAAAAAGATGCTGAGAGAGAGAGAGAGAGGATGAAAAGTGATGCGGGGTAGGCACACCTTTGGGCTAATCCCATAAAGGCAACATATTAACACTTGCATACACCACACTTGCATACACCTACACGTAAGAAGATTTTTATAAAAAGTTCTACACGAATTTAGATTCTATTTAATTCATATAATCCATTTATTACACGTGGAAGATGTCTTATTATATTTAGTATGGGAAATAATACAGCAAAATACCACTAGGCCATAATAAAACACCTCAGTTCTTGTTTTGGGCCTAGAGAGGCCATATCCCATTTTGATGATCTATTGTATTTTGTTTCTCCAGGTGTTTAGTTTATTTTTTTCTAGACCCTCGTATCGCTTTCCCTCCAATTGCATAAAATTATGCCTTTACGCTTGCATCACAATGCACCTTGCGGTCCCGTGCAAAGCTGCATTCGCCCTTGCTAATAGTACTACACAACCGTTGTCATAGTGTCCTACTATATGTACCTAGGTATGTCCTGATATACGTATTAATAATGTGATGTTACAAAAGTTGAAACAACAAGATCACACAATATGACTCGGATCCTTCTCGCTGCCTCCAATTGTAATGTCTGGCCTAACTCCACGACATCTTGTCCACAGCCTCGCCCATCCCTCTTTCGCAGCCTGAAAGTCCCAAAGAAAAATGCAGTAGGCAAACAAAGTGACCGGAATACAGAGTACAAAAAACCACCAAAATTTCACCGCGTTCTGCCCAAGGAGATCAATGTTCATACCCATTAGGCTAGAGCAGAAGCTAAGGGGGATGAAAAGCGTTGCAAGTAGAGTCAACTTCTTGAGTCGCTCAGACTGCTCAATGGCTTTGCGAGATTCCTCGATCGTAGCTTTATTCATTGCCATGGTTATGCCCCTGGTGCACATTTTTGAGAGGTCGATGCAACGAGCATGAAGCTCTTCATAGTCTTCCAAGAGACCCTTGATTGTAAAGGCACCGCACGAACTATTGGCTCCAAGGTTTCTAACCGTCTCAGTCTCCGAGGTCCGCCGGGGTGTGCCGATGCCGAGATTCGGTGGTACGACATTCAATCCTTGACTGCTCCGCTCAGCCAACTTGTAGAGTGCACGAGTACTATCTTTCAGCTGCTGGGCATGACGATTGAGGATGGTGTAGAAATATTGAAGAGTCCCCAACTCATCAGCTTTAACTGATTCAGTAATGGTGTTTATTTGGATCTGTATCCTGGACTCTATGAGATTCAAGAACTGAACTTCGGAGAAGGCCGTATGTGTAAATAACGGGATGCACATCGAAAGCGGATCTCGAGGCGCGCGACGGGCCAAATCGACAAGTGCAATCAGTGAGTCGTATTGCAAAGGAAGAATGGCCGTGCTTTGCGCAATATCTGCCGAGGCATTCGCCTTTGGATCTAGACGATTGGTGGTGGTTCGAAATGCCATTTTGGGATGATGTTGGAGGATAGGAAGTGGCGTAGCATTGGACTTGATGTGGTTTGTCCATGGTCCCGGGGGAGATTGCTCCAAGGGTCTACCTTGATCCATCCAGGCAATGACTGAAAGCGCATATCAGCAAATATCCTTCACGTGGTATGGAGTAAAATCCCCTACCTGTCCATCCTTCATCTGTTTTCGTGATACAAATTGAGATCCATTGTTCTATCACAGAGAAAGACGAGCACACGGTAGAGTACTCGCGCACTAGAGAGTCTCCGCAGCAGACTTTAGTAAACGCAAGCTGCTGCAGCTTGTACGTTTTGAGCTCAGCGGATTGATCTGACCGCTGGGACTGAAGATCCTGTCCGCCGAAATCCTCGCGATGGAGAAGAGTGCTAATACAAAGTCTAAATATGTTATTTGAAGCACTGGCAAGTGATGGGAAACCGAACGAATGTCTGAAAATGCTTGCGGAAAGAAAATCCATGTGTCGTCTGAAGAATTCCGGATCTATGTTGTATTTGCTCCCAAGCACAGACACCCATGATGGTGATATGTAGCCTCGAATGAAAACCATCTGTCCCGCGCCTTCTGCCGGAACAGAAGTATCAGCGTCAAGAGCTTCATGTTGCTCTTGACTGTATTGTTGTACATTCCACTTTCTCTCTCTATCGCTGTTGTATACCACAACTAAATCGTGAGGCTGTTTGGACTTGGAGGCAAAGATGGAGGCGAAACGGGAGGCATCTTCTTCTAATTTCGCCGATTTGAAAATCCTACGGTCTTGTATCATCCATTCTTTGATATCGAGGTAATTGTTGCCCGGGAAGGCCGACGTGCTCTGAAATCTCCCTGAAAGTGAGATAATTCCTCGGGTGTAACTTTCGGGCGTGACTGTCAAGACAAGAGTTCAAGGTGTTAGTATAGTAGTACTTGGACAGATGATAGGATGAGACCTTACGTGGCGGCTTTCTGCGCTCCATGTTGTATCTTGTCCGACTATTAACTGGTCGCATGCCTCGTAAGAGTAAATAATTTGACTGATAATGTGCTGTTGGGTTAGGGTTGGACAAAAGGGCTCTTCAAAAAGCGGCTGTACACTGCACGCCAATAGATCGGTCTATCTTTTATCAATAAATGGTAGTGAGGCTGAGTCCTCACATAAGCAAAGGATGAGGCGAAGCACGGCCACCCATAAGAGCGTCTGCGCTAATGCATACCAAAGCCTTACTTTGCAGTTAGCGTGAGCGTGCTATCTGATGATTCGTCAAGCAAGGCGGGGGAAACCAGAGGGGTTTTACCCAGGGAGTTCTGAATCACCTTTAGCGCTGGGAGCAAGAACTTAGTGCGACCATTTATTCTCATCTCGGCGGGAACCAACGAGCTCTCATTGGCGGTATCGACGTGAGGCGCAGGGATGGTCACTGGAAGCTCGTGGAGAGGGAAGGCAATGCGAACAATAGCCTGGCCAAACTTGGTGGGCACGTCGAAGTCGTGCATGATCGCCACGCGGAATCGATTCAACGCGTCACAGAAGAAAAGTGATATAAAAAATAATATTAGAGAAAAGATATATGATTTCTAAGGAAAAAGAAAGAAGGAAAAAATAAAGACGTTGAAGTCCCAGTGGATCTAGATAACCCTTTAAATTTCTCAACCTTGGACGATCTCACCTGTCACACCCCATGTACAGAATAAGAAGATGATCATCGTGACCTCAGGTTTTAGCTAGTCCTTGATCTGGACGTACACTCTGCGAGGCGAGAAAGCTTCACTATGGACAAGTATATAATTCGCCAAACATTGTGAAGCCCATTATACTAAGTTCTAGGGTACTAAAATACTACTCTTATGTACTTTGCCAGGGCATAGTCTTGACTATCTACATGCCATCCGGTGAAACTAGTCTTAAACTGCCTAGGTTAGTAGAGTACAGCCCCACCTGTTGAAGTTCCTCCTCGTCGTCACATAGTTGCATTAGGAGCGTCTTAACCCTACGTGCCGGCTGCAAGCTCGGAGAGAAATGCTCGTGCGATCTAAGATGAAACGCGAATTCAATGATTGTCTATTATCATCGTTCTATTATACAAAAATACCAACGCCGGTGAACGAAGACCTCATTTGAAAGATGGTATTCGTCGAAGAGCAAGCAGCAAGAAAAAGCAATAAACACCACGACAGTCAAGAGAGTAGAAACCAAGAAAAGCAATACAATAATTAGATGTATGAGACAATGAGAAGAAAACAGTATAAAGAAGCATAAATAAAACTCAATCCCAACCAGACACCAGCATCAGGAGTCTCCCTAAAACAAACCCAGGTTCTTTCCCGAACCCATCCATACCAAAGACAATCCCTAGTCCAACCATCTATCTATTCCCATGGATGCAGTTCCTCATCTGATCGTGTCTCGGTAATGTCATCCGCAAGCATTTAACAAAAGAAAAGGTGCAGAGACGACATCTTGAAACAAAACAATAAATCGCAGATTTGGAAACACGATCAGACCGTCCGACTCCTTCCAGTGCGCTGGTTTCCCATCAATATAGTACAAACAGATAAGAAAATGCATGAAAAACAAAGGAAATAAGAAATCAATCGAGAGGCGTTGATGTGTTCTCTCGTGGGAATCAAGGGGCTTATGCAATGAGGTTATTAAACAAAGGAAACAATGGAAAATTCAAGCTGTTGCGAGACACTTGTATTGTGAATCGCATCATACAGCAGTGGACCATGATTGGTCGCCCCGGGGCTTCATTTCGTAGTTCTCTGGCTCGGTACTAGTGGGTCGACGGATGGTAGAGTTGGGGAAGTACATATGCGGCGGCATCGATGTCGGGTATGCGGGGCCAGTGGGTTCAGGGTAGGTGAAGTCGTTGGCCGATCCAGGCGATGGCATGCTACCGTGAGACGGCGAGGCCCATCCAAGATTAGTCATGTGCGGGCTGCCGTTCACGCTGTTGGGACGGTGGTCACTGTTGGCCGGGGGCTCCAGGGGTTGGGGTGGAGCGTAGGGATGCGAGGTCATGGATGGCCGGGCGTGGGGCGCACTGCCGTAGCTGGACAGCGAAGGGGAGGTCGCAGTCGGGGAAGCCCGGGGGCTGCCTTGGGGGAAATCCCCACGCACATGAGGTGGGATAGGACCGGTGCCCATGTAGTAGTCGCCAGCAGAGCGGTGCATATTCAGCGGCGGAAGTTCACCGCCAGGTGACATGGACGGGTGTTGCGCGGGTGACGGTGTAGAATGGATGGAAGCGTGTTCAGAAAACATTCCTTCGCCAGGACGTCCACGATCCTTATTTTGCCGCAACTGGGCCTCTGTTTCAGCAGCGGCTTCTTCGATGGTCCCAGTGTGGTGGTTTTGGTGCCGTGTCAACGTCGTACGGCGCGTGAAGGTTTTCTGGCAGTTGGCGTACGGGCATTTGTAGGGTCGCTTTCCGGAGTGGATACGGCGATGTCTGGCCAGTGAAGATGAGTCGCTAAAGGGCTGAATAGATGTTAGATCTAGCTGGAACAGAAAGAGGAAAGATACATACCTTGCCACATCTCTCACACATATGAGGCTTCTCTCCGGTGTGTACACGGGAGTGTACTGTCAAAGCCGAGCGTTGAATGAACTGTTTTCCACACCCTGGCCACTCGCAAGCGTGGGGTCGGACTCCGGTATGAATACGCTCTAATAAACTGTCAGTAACCGGATCTCCTAGATTTTTGGAGGATACATACCATGTCGAGCAAGATCGCTGCGCCGTGCGAAGCCCTTGTTGCAGGTTGAGCAGTGGAATGTCTTTGGTGGTGGTTCAATTCCTGCTCTTCCCTGTGGGACGGGTTCCTGCTGCATCTGGGGATCGCCAGCGTATCCCGCAGGAGCATAGGCCATGTTTCGAGGGGTTGAACCCGTGGGCTGTGCATAATAGAAGGAGTCGGCAAGTCCGGCATCCATCTGCATGGGCGGGGGACCGTGAGGAGGGTATGCGTTGACAGGGTTGTCCGAGCCACCTGATTCGCTCTTCATGGTAGGCGAAGCTCCGGTGTGTAACTGTGCGCTCTGTTGAAAGTACTGTTGTTGTTGTAACTGCGCTTCGGCGGCGGCGGCGGCTGCTGCGGAGTTTTTCCTGTTCAGGATGGTTGTGAAGTCCATGACCCGACCCAGCAAGTAGCCAAGGGACCGCGGTCAAGGACTGCTTTCGAAGACGTCCTTCGGCAGACCTTCCAGTATTCCCACGATGTCCGATAGCTATTGAATTCGGAAGTCCTTACGCGTAAAGGACTGGCTGATATGAAGGGTGGCGGCCGGGAGGGAGATTCGGGTCAGGAAATAGCAAGTTCTGCCAAGTCAAAATATAGTCAGAACCAATTTTCGGTACAGTCGATCGAGCTCGAAAAAGCTCCGCGAGCTGAGAAGCCAGAAACTCACCCTGGGTGAACCTGTATTACACGTTCTGTCTTGGACAGTCCCTCAGCGAAGAATGGAACGGGGTATATTCTCCACTTTTCTGCAGTGGAATGCAAGGTTGCGTAAGAGTATCGAACGATGGGCTTTCTGCCAAAAAAGCCAAGCTCCAGAGGATAATGTTGTGGTCGGGTAAAGGCGGAACGCGTGGTTTGTCGGTGGTAATATAGGCTCTGTTAAGGTTCCTATACGGAAAAAAAAGTCGATTGTCAGCATGCAATAAATATCAAGATGGTTGCGATTCTGATTTTATTTCCACAAGCGCTTGGCCATACGCTGATCTTCTCGTCTCTTGTGCGCGATCCTCGGTGAGGAAGACCAGTCACAGTTTTAGGATGAAAAAGACAAGATCAGCATAGGGAAATTGTCCGTGTTCATGAAACCCAAGCTACAGCGCAGGGTTGGGCAGCCAAGGCGGAATAGGCGAGATGCGTCATAGGGAAATCGCGGTGAATGCAAGGAGAGCGAAAACACACCTTTTAAGGAAGCTCAAAGTTTCAACGGGTATAAGGGAAGAGTCGAGGAAAGGTCGAAGTAAGAATTCGCGCAGACCGGAAGGGGAAAATGTAGACAAAGAGAGATCAATATTTGACGATGAAAAGGAAAGGCGAAGGGTTAAAAGGTAGAGAAAGGGGGGAGAAATAGGAATTATGTTATTATAGGTGATTTAGGTGTGGTAGGTGCCACTGTCTGCATCTCTGTACATCATTTTTTTTATTTACTTTCCTTTTTTTTTTTAAAAAAAAAAAAAGTATTATATGTATTATATGTATTATATGTAATTTCAAATCTCACTCTGTATACATTTACATATGTGTTCATATATAGTCCCTGTATAAACCTCTAAACTCCCTTTCTAGAAGGCTAGTTCTCCTAGACCCAGCGAAGCCCGCTAGAAGGAAACCTGGCCGCCAGAAGGATCCACAACGTGCCCTCCCCCGAAAATGGATACGAAAGGCCGATCCGAACCTGAATTTCTTTATTTATCCTATAGCCCTGAAATTTCACTCTAGATATAGCCTATAGTGTGTTTATTCCTCCAAATCGAGATAATAGGAACTAATGAAGGCGTTAATAAAAGGTCCCATACACACATGAAAGGGGGAACTACACGACCCCTGAAGCTAAAAAGGAAATACATGGTCCCTTCCGAGTTTTGCGATAAAAACATTGAAAAAAAAAAAAAAAAAAAAAAAGGAAAAAGCCAAAAAGAAACGGGAGACCTCGGTGATCAACGATGACATGCAGGTTTCGCATGGTGCGACACATTGAGTGATATACTTATTATAAGATTACCCTCGATAGTCTATCCCGACTATTGTTAGCCGAATACATCGTAAAATTGAGATTTACCTTCTAGAAGGTTTCCGCATGGTAACCTTTCTTGCCCTTCTTGTACTCCATATCTCATTATCTCACGCAGCATATATGCGTTACACTATTGGTAGGACGAACTTCAACGGACTATTCTCACCCTTCTGTTTCCCCTCTCCTGGACTTTGACGATCCTGTAGTGGAGCCCATCCGGTGTGCATCGGTAATTACACACCCATCTCGTTCGCCCCTTTTCCCTTCCGGGGGCACTAGAGGGCACCGGATGGCTTGCTTCAGCCTCTGGGAACCCACTCCACTGCCACAAAGACGGCACGGATGACTCCGCCAAGCCTTCTCCTGACCTTCCAGAAGGCCACCAGAAGGATCTTAGAACATCCGTAGAAGCCGTAGAAGCTGTAGAAGGAAAAAAAGACATGCGCGGCCCCCCATCCTGCGCACGGTTCGGAGCCTTACCAGGAGATCCGCCCTGAGCCTGTGCACTATATCTTTTTCACATCGAGGGATTAATGTAGAAGAAAAAAAAAACAGAGAAAATAACAGAAAATAACATAGCCCAAACTGTATCTATTACGACATGCCTAGACGCAAAATTATAATAAAACATTTAAAAAAAGGGGTTGGGCACCAGGATGACTTGTCCAGTCACATTCTGTCTGCCTTTTTTTCGGGATGATTCCTCTTTATTGGTCTACCATCTCACACTCGCACACCT